TAATATAATATAATATAATATAATATAATATAATATAATATAATATAATAATAATGAATAAAATAAAACAGTGAATTGTAAATTTAGTTTTTGATAATTGGTGCGCCATCTTTATACGTTACACTCGTTACAAACTGGTCTTCCAAAATTACAATGTTGGATTCCTTACATTTACATGTAAAACATTGGCTTAAAGACATATTGTAATCACTATCATATGAATAAACATAGATTAAATTAATTATAGGATTTAAGAAAATCACCAAATTTGCAATTGTAAAAGCAAGTAGAGATTGTGGATATATAAATAATATTACACTGAAACATAACAATAGAACGAAAATGTTTGGCACCACTAATCCAATATTGCTCGATTTATAATTAGTTAACGTTCCCTTCCTAATTCCATGTATAATATTAATAATAATTAAAAATAATACAAAAAAAAATGAAATAATTTTCGCAATGTATAAATTATAAAAAAAAAATCCCGGCTCATGACAATATGGAGTCGTAAAAAAAGGAGTCAAAACAGTAAGAATATAAAATCCAATAAGAACATATTTAGAACAGCGGTCAAAACTTATATACTTCCTGTTATAGTAAATTTTAATGTAACTATCGCAGATTAGAAGAAATAAAACTGCGACTTTGCCAAAAGTGGCATTAAAGGCGATTTGGGTAAAAGCACAAACGACATAAACATCAATTCCAAATAGATGAAGATCAACTAGCTTTGAAAACAATAAAAAAAGCGAAAATACAATTTGCAAAATATTCAAATGTAGAAAGATTATATTAGTTGTTTCTTCTCGCAATTGCTTATATTTAACAGTGACGAAAATAAGAATGACGTTGGCTATTATAGATAACGGAGCCCCCAAGAAGACCAACCCAAGACGACTTCCTGCGCCTTCCATCTGAAAAGCTGTTTTCTAGCATAAATTGAGTAAAGTTGGAACTCACCGTGTGTACTGCACACTTATTAGTAGAATAACTTCAACTTACTAAATAGATTACAGTACAGTTTGCTCTTAAATGTGTGCGAGGTTTCTTTTGGTGGCTGACTAATTTTAGAAAATGGTAGGAGTTTATGGTGTTTTGTCACAATTTCATCCAATTAAGTGAAAAATAACAAACTTTGTTTTATTTACTGCAATCTAATAGGTACCTATTTATAAGCTGTAAATAAAATCTTGCTTTAAAAGCAATTAGGTACTCACGACCGTATTTTATGAAACAATAGAAAAAAATGTAAAACAATGTGATTAACAGTTTTAGTTATTCAAGAAAATATGTAACAAAAACAAAATATGTAACAATTACACTCTCAATATTACGTTCACTTGAGTGCAAAAAAACGCAAATTGATTTTTTTTTGTAATGTAATTTGGTCTTTTAATAAATGCCAGCTTTTTGACGTTGTCTTTCTCACAATTCACAATTTCATAATTGTCAGGCATCTTGCAAACTGCTATCAAGTTTTTCCATTTCGTTTTTAACACTGACTACGACACTGTACTAGCAAGACCACCAAATGCAACATTTCTTTTGATAGTTTTCTAACCTTTTTGGATACAACCTTTTTCACACCACGTAAATCTCTGAAAAAATAGGCAATTTTGTTTTTGACAATTTTCGTTTTTTTGCACTCAAGTGTACAAATTTAAGTCACAATTTTATAAGTAAATAAAAATATTACTATTGCCTCAAAAATACATCATTTCCAGCGTTTAAAATTGTTGAGGTTTTTAATAATATTTGCCTGTCAGTTATTAGAAGATTTATTTATTACGATGTTACAATGTGCGAACCTTATACAATACTGAAAACTAAAATCATTGTTAAAATCAACTAGATAATAGTTATTTATTGTAAGAGTGTATTAGGTAGCGTTTTATCCTCGCAAGAATGTTTAACCGCGAGAACGTCAGTTCGAGCGGTTAATTTTCTTAAGTGGATAAAACGCGACTAACACACGACTGCAGTATAACGTTTTATCCACAATCACAGGCCCAAATTATTCCAAACTTAATTAAAAATTAAACTGACATTTAAACGTTACGCCAAATGTGCTTTCGGTTAAACGTAGTAAGCTGTTACACGGTGCTCTGGTTACTAACAGTGGAATAAAATTACTTTATTCCACTAGTGGATAAAGTGGTACTTAATACGCATCTAAAGTGTGGAATAAAGTCTCTTTATAGAGTGATTGTGGATAAAATAATTAATATTTCAGAATTTTTGATTTTTTTTTGCAAATGGGCTATCGTAGAAACTTGCTCTTTGAGTATTTAACAAAATTAAATTAAAGTCTACCTCGATAAACAGTTCCTTCTTTCAACATTATTATTTTTTTTAAATAAATGAGAAACAAATTAATGATTTCAGCCGGTAAATCTCCGATCCATTTGAGATCCAACATAATTTACTCGGCACACTTTGCAGTTTATAATTTATGGAGAGTATAACATTAAGAGTTTTTTTTTTCCAAAAAAATAAATTCTTAATTCTTTCAAGATTAGGATTATCATTATTGATTAGTGTAATTTATAAATTCAGTGTCCGCAACTGTTCTTTTAAGAGATTACAGGTAGACAGTTTCATAGGTATATGATTCATTTTTCAACGAATATCTGAAAAGAGATTTAGTATAAATATACTCGAGAGTTTGTTTTAGTGCTTAGTAGTAGCGGCTGGTGAACTTTTAGTTTTCTGTGGTATAGTCGTCACCAACAATATTTGAGACTCATTATAGAATAAGCCGCTTACTCCCCACGGTGGTTCATGGGGCTTGCGGTAGAGATGCCATAAACAAATTTGCATTTCTTAGGACAGGCACGTTTCAAAGGTTTGTAGGAAGAGATGGTCCGTAACAGAAATTTGTTTTTGGGCTTTCATAAAAAAAAAAATTAAATTAATTTTAATATTCAGTTATATTTTGAGATTGTTTCTTTACAAATCTGCATTATCACTTTAATATTAAATTAATACATTAATTCCCAAATGTTTGCCTGTAATAAATTAAAAGCCCACCACAAAAATTCCTGAATACGGCTCTTTTCTACATCTTCTGGGTAGTACCACACGCAGTGAAAAATTATTACGGTCGACCACAAAGCTGCTTAACCCTCAATAAAGCTTTGCATACGTCAGTCCCAAATATTCCTGGTGACGACTATACACACATTACAAAGTTGTATGGTTAACACTCAATTTTAAATAAATTAGAAATAAATATTAAAACAGTTTTATTAATAAAAAATGGTGAATTGTACATACAATAATTAAATTTAGTTTTAGGAAATTACTACACCATCATTTACATCGTTATACGTTACAGACTGGTCTTCCAAATTTACAGTGCTGTATTCGTTACATTTACATGTAAAACATAATTTTAAAAATATTTTATAATCACTATCATAAAAATAAACATAGAGTAAATTAAATACAGGGTTTAAAAAAAGCAGTACACATAGAATTGCAGCAACAATTGGAGCGCTTAGGACAAACATGCACAGCAGTGCTATAGTTAGAGTGGGACACCATAACAGAAAGAAAATATTTGGCACCACTAATCCAATATTGCTCGATTTGTAATTTATTAACTTTCTTTTCTTAATTGCATGTATAATATTAATAATAATTACAGGTGATGCCACAATAGCTGTACAAACTATCATAATAAGGCAAATTAATAAAATAAAATACGGATCTGATACACAATATGGTACTAAAATGAAGGGAATGCATCCGGGTAAAATATAAAATCCAATAAGGGCAAATTTACAAAAAAGACCAAAACTTTGGTACTTGTTTTTGTAATAAATTTTGATAAAACTATCACAGACTAGGAGAAATAAAACTCCTAAAATTCCAAACAATAAAACACTGACGTCGATTTGGTAAAGAATACAAAAGACACGCGCGTGCACTTTACTGGCTGATGAAAATTCATATTGAATCTCAATTCGTTGTGTTATAAGTGTGCCAATCAAAATCACAACTTGCATTATATTCAAATGCAGGAAGATTAAATTAGTTGTGTCTTCTCGCAGCTTCTTGTATTTAATGATGACAAAAATGAGAAAAAAGTTGGCCACAATGGATATCAAACCGACGACTGTGAGCAACTCAAGCAGAATTCTAAAATAAGTGTCATAGGAAATATCGTTAATGTTTACCATCTGAAAGCAAGATGTTTTAATATGACCTCGAGATAGTTGGGACTCACCGTCACTGCTGCTTAAACAAACCACAACTGCAACTACTACAAGAGATAAAATTAGGTTATAAATGAAAAGAATTAATTAATGTATGTCTGAAACACTCCTGAAATGTGCACAACAAGGTTTCAGATGACTCATATAGTCAAAGAAGTGGAATCAATTTGCGTGTGTTGTGGGTTGCGTTAATACTGATAATTAATTATTTTGATTTTGTGTAATTTGAACATCATTTACATCATTATAAGCTACAGACTGATCTTCCAAATTATCATTTTTATATTCCTTGCATTTGCACGTAAAAACTTGTCTTAAAAACACATTAAAATTATTATCGCAGAAATATACATAAATTAAATTAAATATAGGACTTAAAAAACCCAGTAAAAATAAAACTTTAGTCGTAATAGGAGCGCTCTTATAAAATAGTGTAACTACCAATAAGACTATTAAGAAAGGACACCACAGCAGAAAGAAAATATTTGGTACCAAATATTGCTCGACATATAATTTAATTTTCTTTTCTTAAAGATATGTATAATATTGATAACGATTAAAAATAATGTAAAAATAAATGTGGCAAAAGTCATCACAATGTAAGTAAAAAAGCCATGTAATGTTTGAATACACAATATTGCACCGTAAGCAACGAAGTACATGCGGTTGAACCGCAAATCCCATCAAGAAGAAACTTAAAAATACGGAGAAATTTTTCATACTTGTCTTTATAATAAATCTTAAGAAAATTGTCACAGATCAGAAGAAACAAAATCGCTACTGTGGCAAACATGACGTTGGTTTCGATTTGATATACCAGGTGAATAAAAAGTATAGAACCAATCGTTTTTTGCTTAAACTATTTATTTTTTGTAAAAACTAATTGATGAGTGATAAGGTGCTATAAGAATGTGATGTTTTAACAAGAATAAAATTTTTCAAAATTTCCCTTTGTTTTTGAGTTTTACAAAAAAAAATATTTTTTTAAATGACAACCCACTATAAAATCATTTTTCTCATAAAAGCTATACTCTAAGGATTACAACTATATGCTTTATATTTAATTTTTTGAAAAAAAATTTTTCACATAAATTGCAATTTTGACAAAAAAAAATTGCATAACTCAAAAACAAAACAAAATTTCGTTCTGAAAATACGATCACATTTTTTATATTATTTTAATTTATATTAATTATTATTTTCTGGAGGCAAAAAAAAACCGCTTGGTTCCATACTTTATATTCACCCTGTAGAACACAAAACACATGCAAGTGCACTGCAACACTCCAAAAAAATTCCTTCGCCATTCGTATTGTCAAAGGTGTAGTAGTCAACAATACAGCTTGCAAGATGTTCAAGTGTAGGAAAATCGTATAAGTTGTATCTTTTCGCAACTTTTCATATTCGATAATGACAAAAATGAGGAAAGGAAAGGACATCAAAGCTACGATTGTGAACAATTCGAGAATAATTCTGTCGTATGACGTTTCGTTTGTTTTGTAGACTTCCTCAGAGAAATTGCACGTTATGTTTGGTATATCGTCGAAAGTGGCCATCTACAAAAACGATTCTTTATGGAAAGTGAAAAAATTAAGCTCACCTTACAGTTACACAAAACTGAATATAAGATTTCTCACTTAGTAAATTAGAAAGAATTTTGTCTGGTTTCAGTATTTCACAAAATCTCGCACAAAAGGTAATTTTGTCATGTGGACTTGTAAAGGAAATGGTCAATTACGGTTTTTTACAGTATGTATTTTTAAGATTGGATATACATATTTTGTTATAAATAACTACTGTTAGTGAGGGGGTCAATTTTATACCTCAGTCTGTCGTTGATAATTAAAGAAGCATAAATTTAAGTGGAAAGAACTGAAAATGAGGAGAATTATATTTTTAAAATTCTAAATTCTAATCCACTAGTACTAAACCATTGACACAATAAAAATGTTGTAGGTGATGCGTTTTTTAGTGACAAATAATAAAGTAATTTTAAAGAAATATACAGAGTGATTCCAAAGTGTCTGACCATCTCTTGGGTGGTGATAAAAAACATCCAACTGAGTAAAAAGTTCCCATGACAAAAACTTGTTTGAGCTTTTTTTCACGAGTTGTAGCTCTCCAAAGCTTACATTTTGAATTAAGTTTTTGACCGTTCCGATATGTAATCTTGAATTTAGTTAACGGAAACGGCAGATCTTGTAAGACTGAACAGATACTTGTTAAAAAAAATGACCAATTTGTGTCTCATCGCGTAAAAAACATTCAACAAACTTGCAAATTCAACAATAAATTAAATTTAACAACATCAGAAACAAAAAACTGAGATGCCTACATGATAATATGAAATCTGAGAGTTCTATTTTTTTTTCAAAAAAAAAAGCTTGAAACAAAAATCTGATTTTTATTTTTATGCTTGGTCCGACATTTTTGAATCACTCTGAATCTTTTATTCACATACACTTTAGTAATAATATGCAGATTCTTAACCCTTTGGAGGTCTGGAAATTTGTCATTACATCTCGTGGGCGGCAAGTAACAATTTGGTTGCGTGGCAATTACGTCAATGCATTAAATTTGATAGAAAAACAGATATTTTATACAAACCTCGGTAATAATGTCATTACTACGAGGTCCTAGACAGTTCGATATTCACCACCGCGCATGTAATATACAGGGTGATTCTTAAATAGACCGACAAAATTTTATCCTTGGTAGTATCAAATGAGAACATGCTGGAAAAAATATTTAAAAAATTCTTTGTTTAACCGTTCTCCAAATAAAATTTATTAAAGTTATTTTCGAGGTAAAGCGTACGCCACTGATGTGTTCTGGAAATCATGGTATTAATTTGATTAAAATGTACTTGATCATTGCAACAATTCATAAACGCCGTAAGTGACACGGATCAAGGGAGTTTTGCCCCTAAAAGGTATAAACGTATACGGGGTACAGTTTGTCTCAATGTATCCTTGGGAAGCTGTGATAAAATTTTGTCGGTCTATTTAAGAATCACTCTGTATTATTATATTAGTAGAGCATTAGTAAGAAAAAAAAACATCATTTTAAATGTTTAAATTTTAACTTTAAAATTATTACTTAACAATACAGAATTTTATTATTTCAAATCGGTTAAAATCGGTTAAAATAGTTTAAACATTTTTTTCTAAAAGAGAAAAAGAAGAACTTATAATACAAAATATGCTTTACTTGTTAATAAAAAATAGGATTTCCGTTGGTTTGCAGACATTTAATGGAAATTAGCTGTAGTAGTTACTCATCATTTTATCATTCTAGATGTTTTTTGTCAAGGTCCAAAGCTTTTTGCTTGCTTAATTTTTAACATGGAGGTTTCTATCTAATGTCTGGTTGTATCTTACATTTATTCATACATGCCCCTATATTCGGAAGAAATCAATAAAAGTAAAAATATAAGTATATGCATGATACAATATCTAGCCTAAATTAGCTACGAATTTTGTTTATTATTTATTATTTTACACTCATCAAGTAAACTTTCGTAATAAATATTTATCATAAGTTATAATTCCGTTCTTTGTATATTGAAAATCTGTTATGTTGTAGACATGTATTATTAATGTGAATGTTAAAAAAGTACCACTATATTTTCTGTTTAATAAGGCTTACAAATTAAATCGGAAAAGAAGTTTGATAAAGTATTGTTTTAGGGCTTTTCTCTGTAAAAAACTGCCATGCCAAATTAAAATTTAGCAATTCCTCGATAAAAATCTCTATTTTCACCCATTGTATTTGCCGGTACAGCACCACTGCACAAAATTTCGAAATGACTGAAAATTGCGGAAGTTACTTACCACGCCACTTTGATTCGCTGGTTTCCTTGGCAACTGGAGCACTTTATTTATTAGGAAAAATCACGTATTCAAATTTATGCACTTATCATTAAAAATAAAAAATACTGTTACAATTATTGTTACATGTTGAGTAAACGATAAAGCACTTAAAAAATTAAATTTTCACCAATGCAATCAAATTAATAAATTTCACTTGCAAAGTTTATTAATTTGTGACCAAAACGTTTGAATCACCGCACCACACTTGTCTTCTAATGGTTGATCCACCGGAGTTACCGTAGAAATGAAGTAATTGACTGCGTGCACCTGTTTCGTGTGCATTCACCGTGTAGACAGAAAGCTTCTTTAGGTAGGTGGTAGATAGTAGTCTTGATATTGTGTTTAAAAAATTTTTTTCAACAGTTAATCATTAATATTTATTAGAGTTGATTACAACATAATTCTTAAAAGTATATGATTTCGTATGGTTTCTTATGAATTTCCTGATTCAAGTCAAAGTGTTAGCGAGCTTTATATATAGACAATAGAGGGGATATTAACATTAGTAGTCAGTCACCCTCACCCTGCTTGTTACAATTCATCAATATTTTGTGAATTACACTAATGTGTACACTTATTGCCGTCTGACTCATTTTTCAATACACAGAAAAAAATAAGTAAAATATAAAGTAGAAATCGCATTTTGTAGCACTAAAGGCAAGGAAAATAACTCACTTAAGTGCCTATTCGTTTTTCAACTTTTTGCAAATCGTAGTGAGCAATTAAAAGGAAAGCACCACTTACTTTCATATTTAAGTGTACATCTTTTCTATTCTGTTTGGTTTATTTAAATTATTTCTTACATTCTGTTACCATTTTAATAAGTACATGGAGAGTGAGAGTTGGGAGCGATGTCCATTTAGATGAAAGTAATTTTCCTATCAATTTATTTTTTTGTGCGACACATGTGTTCAAAAAATCGCTCTCTTATTTATTAGTGACATTTATTATCATTGGAAATAATTTGATTATAAAAATTTTTCTTGCCAATTAGTGGAAAATTATCGATTATACAAGCTTTACGCTTTAATTAATTTGAGTAATAATTATTTTTTGGATAACAGTGCTAATGGTCTACTGCACCAGTAACAGAATCCAAGGAAACGTTCATAAAACTGTACACTTTGATGATTTATGAAAATTAAAATGTTAACGGGAAAAGCAGATTAAGCACAATATACAGATATAAGTTACAGGTTAAAAAAATTGTTAAAAACCATTAATTATTACGAAATTATGAAACTATAGTACCTATAGTCAGATGCTGAAAGACATAAGAAATATTACAAAGAAATTAACAATGAAAAGTATTTTTTAGAAGAAAAAAATAACAATATTTAATGTGTAACATCATGGCCCCTTTTATTTTATTAGGTACTAACAATTTTTAACAATCGATTCCGCATTCTCCTATTTTACTCGAAAACAGTGAATATAACTAAAATTTTGCAGAAATTTTCAAGATAAAAAAAAACAATAACGGCAATATTAATGAAATGATGAGGACGAGCACCCTGTAATAATATTTCGGTGTATTTTGTCAGTATTGTAGAATAAAAAAGACTAAATCATTTTTTAAACAATCATAATTATAAATAAATAGAAGAACCCAATATTCTTTTTTTTTTTTCAAGAAAGTTGTACGAACTGTGTTTACGAATACTTAGCTAGAACTTCATTTTTCCATTATACTTTTCACACTTTTTTACACTTTCCTTACCATGTTTTAAATACAATTAAGCTTTCTTTACTCCACAATTCCATTTTTTGAAAATTTCGCTTTAAATTGAAGCTGTTGACCCGGTCGGGTTATAAATTTTCCATAGTTTATTACATCATTGGAAATAAGGTGAATGGAATATGATTTTCTGTAAAAAGCACACCAAATGCAACGTGACTTGTAGTTTCACGTGATGGTATGAACCAAATGCGCGACTGCAACAACCTTGGTCACGTTGTTGATGAAGTGGAAGCTGCGTTTTCAAGGGAGTAGTTTACTCGCATTTTAAAAATTAAATAAATGCAGTAGTGGTGAGTTGTGTGAGGATTATTTGCGTTTCATCTACTCAAATTTTTATTGTATTTGGGTGCACTTAATACACAGGTAAGGTATTCTATATTGATCCAATTGGTAGTAAGTGACCTTTATCAACAACCATTTTAAATATACATATAACATACCAGTATGTTATTGTATGCTATTGGAAAGAAAAAATGAATTTTTATATAATTTTAGTATACCTAATGTGTATATATAACATACCAGTATGTTATTGTATACTATTGGAAAGATAAAAATGAATTTTTATATAATTTCAGTATACCTAATGTGTATATTTTTCTTTATTTTTCAATATTTTTTTTTAAATTGTGTAATTTTACAAAAATGGTTAATAATAATACACTATTCAGGGTGTTCGTTTTTCGAGCTCCACCATGGGGATCTCAATTATTATAAGAGATACGAGGTCGATTAAAATAGGGCAAAGTAGGAAAAAAAAACGAAATTTTTAATTTTCGTTACTAATTTTTAATTTTCGTTTTTATTTATTCAAGCGAAAACTAAAAGACCTAGACGTTTCAGTGTTGTAACATCAAGAGTGCCTTGGAAAATACGATGACAGATTTAGATTCCTTGTAAAAAAATGCCTTAAGAACGTTCTAGTTAAAAACGTCTAGGTCTTTTAGTTTTCGCTTGAAAAAATAAAAACGAAAATTACAAATTTCCGTTTCTTTCCAATAATTCTTAAAAATAACTTAACAATAACTTGTTAAGGTACTCGTATCCTCTAAGCAAAGTCTACCGTAACCTTTTCGTATAACGAGTTTTTTGTAAATATATAAGAAAACACCGTGCAATAAGGTTAACTCAGTTTGTAAAAATCAAGTAGCAGCTTACGAATTTATCGCATTTATTTATTTTTTATTATACCTGCATCATAATCCTAAATTAAAACACGCTCCACTAACGCGTCGTGCAAAGTTATGCAAACTTAATTACTATTGATAGGTTCTACCATGCAATCATTATTTAAAGCTAACAAGTGAGAAAAATTTATTTTTGTTTAATTAACGATATCATAATTTTGTTACACTCTCCATAAATACAAAATAAATTAATTAAATCTAAGTTTGAGTAGCTTTGACTCTCCATATTTTGGCACTATTTGTCAAATAATAAGTCACTGTCGACATTTATTGAGAAACAATTTTGACATTTTTTATTTCCATAGCAAACTATACGAAAACGAATGTAGCTAATAACAGATTTTCAGCAGTCTCAACAAAAAGTCACCATAACTTAAAAATTATTAAATTTAGGTATAGGGAATGTTAATACAGATCGATACAGAATTAAGTTCTCCTCCATTTAGTAAAATAAAAATTGGGGTATTTCATTTGAAAAAATTGAGTTATGGGTATTTGAATTATTACAAAAGTAACCTTAAAATTTTATGGTTTGTTATTTTTTTTTTCAAAATTTGAAACACCGAAAGAAAGATCTAAACTTTCTTTTTCAAACGCCAAAAAAAACGAATTCAAAATTTTAAAAAATAGCAGAGTTACCGATTTTTAAAGTGGAAGGTGCAAATCCAAAAATTTTTGAAAAACTCCAAATATTTCAAAAATGGCTAAATTTACGTATAGGGAAAGCTGATGAAAACTCTCTTAAAATAACCCGGTTAATCCAAAAACGCAGTAAAAAATATACCTTTCCATTTAAAATAAGAAAGTTGAGACCGACTTCCGGTATAACCGGAAGTGCCGCCATCTTGAAAATATTTTCATTTAGGAGGACTTAATGGTTTATGGCTATATACCAATTTTCAAATAAATACGATTATTCCAACTCCCAATACTTCTAAAGTGGGATTTAGACGGAACATCCTGTATACTATTATTCATGTTTACCTGGATTATGGCGAAATTTTTAACGTTATTATTATTATTACTTTTCGATGAATAAGCTTGGGTTTTCCTTTTCTTATCGTATTTCTCATAATCTCAATTCATTGTTAAATTTCTACCTCATTAGTTTGAAGTAAAATGATTGAGATAAAACAGCCAATAGCTAATAAATGGGTTATTCAGCCTTTGCTTTAGAATTAATAATCGCCATTAAAAAAATACTAGATAAGAGAATAAAACGAAAAGTTGTTTGCTGTTCAATACTAGTATAAAACTAGTATAAACTAACAAAATTTTCCACCTACATGATAAAATTCTTTGATTTTTTTTGTGGTAGGTATTTGTAAAAAAATAATAATGATAAAGTTGATAGGTTTTAAATAATTAACATTTTAATATTGAAAAAAAAAAATTCAACTAACAAAATTTTCTACCTACATGATAAAATTTTTTGATTTTTTTGTGGTAGGTATTTATAAAAAAATAATAATGATAAAATTGATAGGTTTTAAATAATTAACATTTTAATATTGAAAATCTGTTTGCGGTAATTGGTGATCAGGTCAGAATTTCTTGACAAAAGAAAAAGATCCGCAATGACATTTATGACGTACCTGGGCTCTATTGTGAAGCCTCCGCTCTATTGTCAATGCATTAGCAGCACATCATCCCAAACTTGGTCATAATCATAACCTAAATTCCCAAATTTCAATATTAAAATGTTAATCAACTATCAACTTTTACATTATTCAATTTTCACAGTTACCATTAGACAAAGTCAAGGAATTTTATCATGTAGAAAAGATTCCAATTAATTATTTTATTTTCCAAATTTGTTTTTTAGGGTCTCATTGACATGCGATAGAAATTTTGAACAATATTAAAGAATCAAATTATACTAATTGAAGTCTATATAATTCTCTATCGTTTGCACTAGCAATTTTTTTTAATGAGTCAGAAGTATTTATTTTTACGACGGCCCTAAAAGTTGGGACACCGTGTATGTACATTACAATTTGTAGTAACTACAGGGTGCACCAGAACTCGCGCCCCAGAGAAACATGCCATATAAGGTAAGATACCAGGAACATGGAAAAAATGTTAAAAAAATTTTATCTATAAAAATATCGAAGTTATGAGGGTTTAAAGTTTGCACTTTGACTCTATTCATTTTTGTTGGAAAAATAATTTTCCAAGTTTTTTTTGCTATAGACTATTAAAAGAGGAAACAAGGAAGCTGTATCCTAAATTGTAACTCTGTTCAATGTTATTTGTGGCTTTTATTTGCAAAATTTTTGTCTCTGTACTAAAATTTTCTCTGGGGCGCGATTTCTGGCGCACCCTGTATAATAATACTTTTACTGTTTAACTTTTATTTTTTTAGATACGGTTCCAGGCACTAGCCTAAAACGCAAAAAACAATGTTTTTTTGTAAAAAGTAGATGAGTGGGGTGGTTGGCGATGCGGGCCGAGCGTCCAAGGGTCAGGATAAACATATGGTACATTGGTTCCGTAGAGGATTACGCTTACATGACAACCCATCTCTACGAGAAGGACTAAAGGGTGCCCGGACATTTCGTTGCGTATTCGTTTTGGACCCTTGGTTTGCCGGTTCTTCAAACGTTGGAATTAATAAATGGAGGTAAACAATAACAATTCTATATTTACCAAAAACAATTCACGTTACTATTCACATGAAAGTTATGTAATCTGAATCGCCTATTATTGTCTATTAATAAATTTAACAATCAACACAATGTTATTTCCGTATTATCATTACATTGCACATTTTCCAGATTCCTTCTCCAATGCCTAGAAGACTTGGACCGAAGCCTCCGCAAGCTTAACTCGCGTCTTTTCGTCATTAGAGGCCAACCGGCTGACGCTTTACCCAAACTCTTCAAAGAATGGGGCACCACAGCCCTGACCTTTGAAGAAGACCCCGAGCCATTCGGCGGCGTCCGCGACCACAATTTGACCACCCTATGTCAAGAACTAGGTATTAGCGTCGTGCAAAAAGTCTCACACACGTTATACCACTTGCAAGACATAATTGACCGAAATGGGGGTAGGGCCCCTCTCACTTACCACCAGTTTCTTGCAATCATCGCTTGTATGGGTCCGCCGCCACAACCCGAACCCCCAGTCACCTTCAACACCCTAAATGGGGCTCACACTCCCTTATCCGAGGACCACGACGAGAAATACGGTGTGCCTACTTTGGAAGAGCTGGGTTTTGATACAGAAGGGCTGCTGCCTCCAGTCTGGCAAGGGGGCGAGAGCGAGGCTTTGGCCCGGCTTGAGCGACATTTGGAGCGGAAAGCGTGGGTGGCGTCGTTCGGGAGACCCAAAATGACCCCACAATCGCTCCTGCCCTCTCAGACGGGGTTGTCGCCCTATCTCCGGTTTGGGTGTTTATCCACGAGATTGTTTTACTACCAACTCACGGATCTGTACAAAAAGATCAAAAAGGCGTTTCCGCCGTTGTCCCTCCATGGACAGCTGCTCTGGAGGGAGTTTTTTTATTGCGCAGCAACGAAAAACCCAAATTTTGATAAGATGATAGGAAATCCGATCTGTGTGCAAATCCCATGGGATAAAAATGCTGAAGCGTTGGCCAAATGGGCAAACGTAAGTTGTTATGAGATAACACAGGGCAACAAAAAAGTCATGTCGTGACAACTTGACAAATTATAGGTATATCATTTTGTTCGTCTCAGTGAGACATCAAATCAACTAATAAAAATTAAAAAGTCCACACACTTTGAACTAAATATTTTTTTCTAATTTAAATGAATTTAAAATACTTTAACTTTAAAAAATCATTACTCAATAACTATTAGGCCGATTTCCTTCAAATGAAGACCATTTTCAAGGAATGGCCTTGCCCTTTAGAATGATATAAAATTTGAAATTAAACATTAGCAAACTTTTCTTCGAACAGTGTTCGAAGAAGTTCAAAGTAAATCGAAACAATCTAAGAAAAACTCTACTAGTATTTTTTTTTTCATCATTACCATCGTGTAGAGCATCTCTTTATTAGTTGTAATCCAAATTTTCAAAAGAATATACCGAGTAGTTTTCAAGATATGATTTTTCGAAGTTAAGGTTTGCTAATCAAGCATTGCTCTATATAGGAGAAATGCATGTTAATCTTACTTAAAATTGCATTTTTATAAAAGTATTTGCTTTAAGACTCTTCTTTTGCCTAAAAATGGTCAATTGCACCTTCTTTGTTCTAATTAGAATAAACAAAAACTGTTTATTTACTTAAAACAAATACCTGAGTACCTGCGTACTAACTAAAGCAAATAAAGAGTTTTTTTGTTGTAAAAATGACCACTGATCATTGAGCAAAGAGGATCTAGAAGTTTAAGGCACGAGCCTTAAATATAAGAGCAAATCTTTTTCAAATCAAATCACTTTCCATTCAGATTTCGACTTGTTCACTTTGCTCTAGCTTTCTGAACTTTTTTTGAAAATGTTCTGAGCAAATGCTTTCTCACTTTCGAGTGATGTTAAATGCAATAATTCACCTGATTTATTTTGTTGGTACATTCTACGATTAGCTTCAGTTAGCTTGTAGGTAGTAGTTGTTGTGATAATAGTTGCACACGAAGCAACTAACTTTTTGCATTCAACATCAGTAGAAAGTGATGAGAAAACATTTGCTGAGAACATTTAAAAAAAAAAGTTCAGAAAAGCTAAAACAAAGTGAACAAGTTGGAATCCGAATGGAAGTGATTTAATTTGAAAAAGATTTGTTCATAAGAATAAATATAAATTTAAATATAAATATAAAGCTTTAAATATAAATTTAAAGCTACTGCTTTAAGCTGCTAGATCCTTTTTGCTCAATGATCAGTAATCATTTTTAGAACAAGAAAACTCTTTATTTGCTTTAATTAGTACGCACACTCTTTGTTTGTTTTAAGTAAACAATCAGTTTTTCTTTATTGATTAGCAAACCTTAACTTCAAAAAATCATATCTTAAAAACTACTCGGTATATTATTTTAAAAATTTATATTCTTACTAATAAAAAGATGCTCTACACGATGGTAATAAAGAAAAAAATTTTTAGTCGTAGGGTTTTTCTTAGATTACTTCGATTTACTTCGAACACTGTTCGAAGAAAAGTTTGTCAATATTCAATTTCAAATTTAATATCATTCTAAAAGGCAAGTCCATCCCTTTAGAATAGTCTTTATTTGAAGGAAATCGGCCTAATAGTTATTGAGTAATAATTTTTTAAAGTTAAAGTATTTTAAATTCATTTAAATTAGAAAAAAAATATTTAGTTCAAAGTGTGAGGACTTTGTGAAATCTTTTTAGTGCATTTGATTTGTCTCACTGAGACGAACAAAATGATATAAATTTTGTCAAGTTGTCACGACATGACTTTCTTTTTGTCGCCCTGTGTAATTAGACTTGATTTTACCTATAGTCAATGTAGGGTCAGACTGGGTTTCCGTGGATTGATGCTATTATGACACAATTGAGGGAAGAAGGGTGGATACATCATTTGGCGAGACACGCAGTTGCTTGTTTTTTGACCAGGGGGGACCTCTGGCTGTCATGGGAAGAAGGAATGAAGGTGGGTTTAAAAACACGAATTAACTGCATCTAAAATGCGGTTTTTAGGTGTTTGAAGAACTGCTTCTCGATGCTGATTGGTCGGTTAATGCCGGAATGTGGATGTGGTTGTCTTGCTCCAGCTTTTTTCAGCAGTTTTTTCACTGCTACTGTCCGATTAAATTCGGAAGAAAAGCCGACCCAAATGGCGATTACATACGGTAGTTATACGTCACAATAATCGATCATTTTTAAACTTTTAATATTTTTAGAAAGTACTTGCCCGTGTTGAAAAATATGCCGACTCAGTACATCCACGAACCTTGGACTGCTCCTGAACAGGTCCAGCGTGCAGCCAAATGTATAATCGGGAAGGATTATTCCTTGCCAATGGTCAATCATGCGGCTGCAAGTCGAGTAAATATCCAAAGAATGAAACAAGTCTATCAGCAACTTTCCAATTATCGCAATGTAGATAATTCGTCAAAATTCAAAGACCGATTTCAGGAGCAACCAAATGTTGTAACTGTTGGAAACCCCAGTAGAAAATAATATGGTTTTATATTATTCATTCTGTCAACTGCTATGTAGCTTTATTGTTAGATCATATTAATCTACACTATTATTTTGTAAATTTAAAATATCTAAGCTGTGTATTGCCGTATGATCAAATTACCTTCTGCATAAACTAATTTCTTCCAAATATGTTTAAATAAAAACACTATAATTGAGCAAAGAAATTTCTTGATCATACGGTACTTGAAGTACTAATATTTACTTAAGGCAAAACCAAGTAATTAAGCATGAATCATCTATGTATGTAAGTTCATCCATGTACCTATTATGTTTATTATTTAATCTGGATTTTATTACAAATATCATTTTTTGCACATTCCTGTAAAATTTTTGTGTGTCCGGTTATTCATATTATAAAATATGTCGTGCCATTTCAATCGCCTATTCTGTCACTTTTCATGTTTCTTCTATACGAAATAGTACAGTATTTTATATTGGCTCTAAAGTCAGTAGGGGTTCAATTGTTACAGATTCTTCTTTTACACACAAATCAAATGTTTTTGACCTATTTCATCAAAAAACACAGTTGCAATGTTGCCTGTGAGGCGATTGATATGGCACGAATACTACAGATTAAGTCATTTATAAACAAAGACTTTTAACCGATTTTTGCGTCTAAAAATCGTTCAGCGTTTTTATTATAAATGACTCAGCCTTGATTAAATTTATGAGAATACTATATGGATCAGGCAAATTTTAAGGATTCTGCCCTTTTTTTTGAGGTGCCTTTTTTAAAAAATTCAAAATCTTGAGGATTTTGCTCCGTTTTTAAGTAATGTAAAATTAAAATCCGGTCGGCTTCGACAGATAATTTAACTTTGGAAAAACAGCTAAATTTTTAGGATATTGCCCTGTTTTCAAGGTATATGAAAAAAATTAAAATTTGCCTTCGGTTTATGAAGCTGCGCTGGATTTCAAGGCATTTCGATCTGTTTGCATAAGAAATAACTAACCAAATGGAGAACACACAGATGATTTATATCCTACTTAAAATTACCGCTTACTTGGAGGAGAAGAAAGGTGCGAATAATTAAAAAATACTCCTATTACTTTAAAAAATGTCTGTTATAACAATTTAAATTTACAGAACGAAATTAATTAATTTTTTTAAAGCCTACCAAGGGCAAATTGCAATGAACTTGAGTTTCTTTTGAATTAGGTAGTTTTTAAGAGAAAACAAAAAAAAATGATTGCGATGGCAACTTTTAATACAACAGAGAATACATTTTTATCGGTTGCCTGTTTTTACTACGGAATACAAATTTCATTTGAAATTTTGTTTAAAATGACAATATTTTAAATTGAAAATTTATACAATTATTGAGCCGAAGGCGAACTTTAACTTTTTTACGTCTTAAAAATAGGCCGAAATGCCTTGACATTTTAACTTTTTTAATATACTTTAAAAACAGGACAAAATCCTAAAAATTTTGCTGTTTTTCCAAAAGTAATTTTTTTAGCTGAAACCGAATTTTATATTCCTTAAAAACAGGGCAAAAACAAAACTGGAATAAAAACAACTATAATTGAAAAACTGTCTTTATTTTTGCTTTCCAAGTAAAAATTTTATTTCGCAACAAACACTAAACATTAAAATTTCAAACAAACGTGAATTCTATTTAAAAATGAATGAACAAAAATGTGGCAAAAATCTCAAAAAAATTCTTAATACGTTTGGTCCAAAACATAAATAACTACATTTTCGGAGTTTGCTTGTGGTTGAACGATAGTGCCATTATCCAGGATATAAGCATTTTTATCTAATTAAAAAAAAAGACAAAATAGAACATAAAACTACAATGTCTTACCTAAGGTGATTTCCTGATAATTTTCTGTAAGATCCGGGATCGACACACACACTTCTCCCGTCTGTTTTATCTCATTTTTGTTATTTATATCCAACTCTTCTACTAAACTATCAACGGCATTTTTATTTATCGCTGAGTTATTTTGGGCGTTGTTCAACAAATTATTAATTTGGTCGTCGATCTCGCTACTTTCATTGTTATTATTTTTTGTGTTTTCATTTTTATTTGTATACAATTTCGGTCGAATTGCGTTCAAGTCAATGTTGGTCACTTCAGGATGTGCTTTTTTCAAATGCCTCAACACCGAACTTCGCAATTTAATTGACTTTTGACAAATTGGACAATTGTAGTATTCCATGTTCTTGTTTGGCTTCACCTTTTCTTTGTGAAAATTTCTCACATGTCTGTTTAAGCTTTGACTCAGTTTGAACGTTGCATCACATAGGGAACACTTGTATGACCCCACATTGTGCTGTTTAATGTGGTAATTCAATGCTTTTTTGGTTTTGTACTTTTTATGACAAATATTACATTCGTACTGAAAAATACAATTCGTAGTTGAATTTTACAATTTGTGGACAAACCTCGTTGGATTGATGTACCAAAATGTGTTCTCTGAGCGAATCAGCCCTGTGAAACTTCTTATTACAGACTTCGCAAACATAGGACGGCTCTTCGTGTTTCTTCTTATGCGAGAAATACGAAGTGTAAATTAAATTTAATCCGCATATATCACAAGTGATCTGAGTCGGCTTTGAATTTCTGCCTTTTTGGTCGTGCGTTTTTAAATGTCTCTTCAAATATATTTCACGGAAGAATAATTTATCACAAATAGGACACATGAATCGCTCCTTGTCGGCAATCGGGATTTTACTACAATTGTGTTCCAGCAACTCCTTATTCGAGTAATAGTTTTTACCACACGAAACGCAACTATATTTTTTGTTATGAATGGCTCCGAGATGACGAGACAGGTATTTGGGTTGGGTGAAACTACGATCGCATAAGTTGCAACGGTGGCGAACGCGCAAATTGCAAATGTGCGATTTTAAATTTTCCTTCCGACAAAAGATCTAAAAAATATTCCCTTCATTACTTGATTTTAGAATAAAAGGACCGACCTTTAGACACTTAAAACACATAAAGTCACCCGTATGTTGCCTCAAGTGCACGATTAATAGCTTCATTTTGTTAAATTGCTTAAAACAAATATCACAAATAAATTGCTTCTGACTATCGTCTATTTCGAAATTGAAATGGTCCAAATCTTTAACATTGTCATTAAGCAGGTTTTCTACTGTTAGATTATCACTGTCTAGTAATAAATTTTGATTATCTAGAAGATCAAATTGTTGCAAATCTGAACTATCCGTAAACATATCGTTCAATAAAGGACCCCCAAGTACAACATCCCTAGAATCAGTTTTAGTAGGCGAAACAATACTTTTCGATGTTTTACTAGACGAAGTCATAAACATTTTGTGGACGATTTTTAAATGATTTTTTAACGCCTTAAAAGTGATAATTAGAACTGATTAAGATATTTTAACTCAATTACTTTCTTTGATCCCCATGTTTTCTTACACAATTCGCACTTGTTTTTGTGTTGAGCAGTATAATGTTTCAGGATATGCTTCGCAAATAAAGCAATATTATTTTCGATGTGACTACAAAACTTGCAAGTCCACACTTTCCGTTCCGTTATTTTTTGTTGCTTTTTAATCAAATAATCGATGTCTTAAACATATTGAGTCACTTTTTTATAATTGTGAAATAAAAGATACATACCGACATTTTTTAAAGGATCGTCGTCTGTTTTTGGGGATAATACTGGTTTATTCATTTTTTGGGCATAGTAGGGTGCATACCACACTTTAAGAGTCTCTCCAATTCTGATATCTTTAATTGCAACGTAGTAAATTTCACCTGAGTCCTGAATTTTAAATAAATTAGTAAAGTATAAGCATTAGATGTATAGTTGGTTGCATACCACAATTATAAATTAAAATTTTGTTCAAAATAAAATTAGCTAACGCAGGTTACGATGTTTGACTTACCTGATAACAGATTAAATTCTGTTCTTCCGCATAGTCAGCGTGTCCTACAAACATCAACCAACTGCACTTTTCTTCATTAGTGGCATCTAAAAAATATTCACAATTGTTTTCCTCAAAAACTTTTAAAGGGAACGTTATCGTAGGCTCTAAAGTATTGGTCTTTTCTGCCTGAAAGGGGCCAAATTTCGTTCCTTTATTTATTGTAGATTTGGTAATTGTAGCATATGATCCATCACTTAGAATTCGTGTGCTTAAAAACTTGGGTAAAGTGAGCTTAGCTCTGGATGGTATTTCATTATCTGGAACCTAAATTAGATATTTTAGACAACAAATAAAGTGATTTTTGTGTCTCACATGTTTCAAAATTTGTACATAATCACAATCTTGAATATTGTGCTTTTTTCCACAAATATTGCAACATTCGGCGAGTAACATGTTTGAAGTGATTGCAAGAGAAGGGGCCGAATTTTCCATTTTATAGTAACATAATATAATTAAAGACAACAAAATTAAATAGTATTTTTTTAAATCATAGAACTGAATTTAAATTTATCAATAAAAAAGTGAGGTTAAATAGTATTTAGCTTGACATTTGTCGACAGTGTTGTCAAAGTATAGATATTTTCTTTGAGGTACGAATTAACCATTACATCGTTATTACAACCGTAATTTAATTGTGGGTTCGCATTACAAGACAGTTGCGCATAGAGATTGTAAAAGTGTAGCTGTTATTTTTGTGAGGATTGAACCTTGTTATTGTGAAAATGCCACAATTCGCTTTGTTAGTTTCCGACTTTTTTTGATATTTGGTAGATGTGGCAAGGGTGGGTAAAAATGGATTGATAGTTGGTGTTTCTAGTGACTTTAGTTGGTATTGTTGGCAGCAGTATTTGCAAAATCACGACGTGCCTGCAAAAAATAGTTCTGTACGTCAACAATCAAGATTTTCTCTCGTGTACGTTATCGCATTTTATTAGTGCATTATAGTTTGGTGTACACTAGTTTACGATCATTTTAATAATTTATTTGAAAATTGAGGTATATTTTTAGAATAATTTTAATCCTTAATTTTGGGGCGCCATTTTGTGTATGCCGGTGGATTTTCCCCGTAGTTGTCAAAAATTTAAGTTATAAATAATATTTTTGTTGCTCAAGGGTTTTTCGTCAGCCTTTGCAGCTCACTCCCGTGATCTTTCGGTCACTGTTACACAGGTGAGTATCATTGTTTTTTCGTTGTTGATTTAAATGTCCAAATTATTAGTTTGTCACTTCATTACTGTCACTCCCATTTATTTTTCTCTGGAAAATTGACGTTTGTCACTATGCAGAGCTATTAATCAGCATTTGAAACTGTAATTTACACGATTTTCACTACACATAACTTTGCTATTAAAACATTGGATCATGTTGGATATCAGTGTCAATTTGTTTTAGTTTTCTCGACAATGTTCTTATAGAATCCAAGTAAAATAATGACTATTGCAACGAGAGGTCAGGGAGTTACAGGAGAAAACTTGGATGTGCAAGTAAGTTCATTAAAACCGCCCGAATTCGTGGTCATAATGACATAACTTTCTCATATAGGGTCCAGTTCCTGGGCCGTCAGAGGCAAACACTGATGAATTACCAAACGAAAATGCTGAACCCGATTTCCCTCATGATAAACTAGCGTCTTTAGACGAGAAAATATCAAATATAAGATGGGTGGTTCCAGTATTGCCCGATCAAGAACTAGAATGTTTACTCAAAGTTTCAATCGATTTAGCACGAAAAAATTTGGATACGAGATCAGAGGCTTGTCAGAGGTTCTTTCGTGAAGGTCTTACCACCTCCTTTACCAAAATTCTCACCGATGATGCCGTCTCTAGCTGGAAGGCGAATATCCATGCTTGCATCCACAACAACTGCTTGAAATTGATTGAATTATGTGTTGCTAAACTGCCTCACGATTGGTTTCCGCTATTGGATTTGTTGGCGATGGTTTTGAATCCAAATAATAAATTTCACACTTTCAATTCGTCAAGACAGAGTGAAACGGCGGGTCCTGGGTCTAATTTAAGTGAAGAGGAATTGTTTGCTAGACCGTCAAATGATCTTAGAAATCCTAGAGGGTGGTTGGTTGATCTCATCAATCGATTTGGGGAACTTGGGGGATTCCAGTTACTGTTAGATAGGTTTCAAAGTGGTAAAAATTTAAGTGTTTCTGTAGTATTTGCACTTCTTCGACCGTTTGGACTTTGTTATGAATTTTTAACTCCACATACGATCAACAAGTATATTCTACCCATATTGGTAAGTGTTCTTTAACGCTCAATTGCTAGATGTATAGTTTTTTCAGCAATAGACTCGATCTTTTTCAAACATTTAAAATGACAAAAACATACAAAAATTTATTTATTGCATTGTTTACTACAAAATTATGCATATTCTTTATTTTTAGTAATGCATTCTATTACTGGAAGAACCAAAAAGAGCTATATTTGACAACCAGAGCCTCTAGTGGCAACATTTATCAACAAAAATTGTTTAGGTATTGATATTTAAAATTTATCTTCAAAGAAAAGATTAAAAAAATATTTGCAAACTTAGGTAATTAAATTATGTTATTATTTGTTTGTAATTAATAATCTTCAAGAATTTGCGTTTTGTGGAAGCCAGAGTGTGTGATTTGAATACTGCCTTTATTTTACTACAAGTGTAAAGTCAAATTTAAAAACTTCTGTTCAATGGGTAGTTTGTTATAAATTAAAAATATTTACTAATCTCAAATTTTGTGTTAAAAAAAATGTAATGAGGGACGTAAACTTGAATAAAATGTGAACTAATACCAATTCTAAAAAAAATTCACCGAAATGCCAGAGATCTCAAAAAAGATCTACCAAAGTTTTAGTAATACTAATAATCCTTTGTAATTTCATTATTTTTAGATTAATTTTTATAATTCCAAATTTATTCCTGTAGTGCCAAATTAATTCTGATAGTTCTAAGAAATTCAATGTAATCTTGAAAAGAAATTAACTCTCGATAGTTTCAAAAAGTATTCCAGAATTCTAAAAAGAATTCTACATAGTAATGCCACAATAAATTCCAGCAATTTTTAAATAATTTCAAATGATTCCAAAAAAAAATTTAAAGTTTCAATAATCCATCATAATTCCGTTATTTGCAAATTAATTTCTATAATTTCAAATTAATTTTTGTAATTCTAACATAATTTTTGTAATTCCAAAATAATTCTTGTAATTCCAAAGTAATTTCGACAGTTCTAACTTAAATACTTCTAAATAATTTCAATCTAAAAATTTGTACAACTAATTCCAGAGTCCTCTTGGTTTGTGACAAATCTCTTTTTTATCAGTATTTCAAATAAGATAATTTTGTAACAGTATTGTTTCTTTATCTAGACTCTAGAGAATCATTATCTTGTTATACCTCATGATTTTTACGGTAAAAAATTAAAATACATGAACTTTTAAAGGCGGTAATGAGATGAAAAACAACCTGCACATTAAAGTCTTTTTTTTTACATAATTGTTGATATCACTAAAAGTATGTTTGTCATAATATGTATTTTATTATTACAAATTTTATTGAATATTTTAATGTTTTAACATTTTTTTTTTCTAAAAGGTTTTAACATAATATTAATAATATTTAATTTATATAAAGAATTTTATATAAAGAAAACAATAATTTAACTGTTTTACCAATTTAAAATGTGTATTTTAGCGGGATGTTATATTCTGAGCTTTTGAACATTTTATTACCACTTACACTTTGTCGAATGGCGCTGGTTGTGTAAATGTTTTCTCAATAATATTTTTTGACTCCTGACTTTGAGTTACATAAAAAAATGTGTGGAGTTAAAGTAAGAATTAATTGCAGGAGATGGTTCCTGGCATATTAGAAAAACTGACCGACGATGAATTAAAAAGAGAAGCAAAAAATGAAAGTAAAAGCGATATAGTTTCGGCTATAATAAAATCATCAAAAAACCTAGCCTCTCGAGTTCCCAATCAAGAAGAACTAATCCGAACTCTTGAAGGTTTCCGTCTCACTATGATTTTAAGACAATTGCAAATTTCCAGTTTTAATGGAAAAATGAATGCATTAAACGAAATAAATAAAGTTATTTCGAGCGTTAGTTATTACCCAAATAGACATCACGGAATTGAGGAAGAGGAATATTTAACTCCAGAAAGAATGGCTGTATGTTTATTAGAAATTTCCTATTTCTTGATTTTATTTTGGTTCATTTCAGAAATGGATAAATGAAAATCGCGTCTTGGAAATCGTGTTACGCGACTCGCTCCACCAACCCCAATACGTGGAAAAGCTGGAGAAAATTTTGCGTTTCGTAATAAAAGAAAGAGCGTTGAGTCTTAAGGATTTAGACGCTGTGTGGGCAGCTCAAGCCGGAAAACACGAAGCGATCGTGAAAAACGTCCACGATTTACTCGCGAAACTCGCGTGGGATTTCAGCGCCGACCAATTGGACCATTTGTTCGAGTGTTTTCAAAACAGCTGGACGTCGGCGTCGAAACGCCAAAGAGAGAGATTGTTGGAGCTCATTCGGAGATTGGCCGAAGACGATAAAGACGGAGTGATGGCGCATAAGGTGTTGACGCTTTTTTGGAATTTGGCTCATGCCGAAGATGTGACCACGGAAATCATGGATCAGGCGTTGTCTGCACATGTGAAAATTCTAGATTACAGTTGTTCGCAAGAAAGAGATGCACAGAAAACTGTGTGGTTGGATAAGTGTGTTGAGGAGTTAAAAAACGGCGAAATGTGGGTCTTGCCCGCTTTGAAACAGATACGCGAAATTTGCTTGCTGTATGAGCAAAATACGAACGGGGGACATGGACAAAGGACACATCATATGTATTACCGACAGGAGGTTATCGAGAGATTACAAAGTCAACACTCGCTCGTTATTTTAGTTACGAATAGTCTTACGAGTTATATGGATCATCTACGTAATCTTTATAAAGAACAGCCGGAACTAACAAGCGAAACTTACGTCCCGGATGGACGCTACTGCCATGCTTTGCAAGTTCAAGAAAGACTGAATTTTCTCAGGTATTTTTTTACACGAGTTTACACATTTTTTCTACTGCTTTTAAGTTGCCGTTGCAAAGGCAGAATGAATTAAATTTAATAGTGCATTAGTTTACAAAATGTGATGAAAATAAGTGTTTTATTTTGTTCATCACCAAAATCCCCATTTAGATTTTAGTTTGAAGGAGGTGTTTTATACTAAATGAATTTTTTTTTAGCTGTTTACGAGTATTTTTATTGGAATTTTTCTGTTTAAAAAAAGGTCCAGAATAAGAATAGGTTGTCTCTATTGATTTTTTCATGCAAAACAAATTTGAAACTTATTACTTTTTCTTACAATCGTTTTTCATGTACCATATTACGAAAATTTGATCTTGTGATGACGTGATATGCGTAGGCTTAGAAATACAGAAATAACATACCTATAATCAACTGCCATACCTCCACCCAGTGTTACCAACTTAACTTGGAAGTCGGAGAATACTTTGATCAGGAATTTGAAAAAAAAATCAAGCTGCATCGTAATTACAATGCTTCAATCAAATTTCTTATCAAAGTGACCTGTGACTTTGAAATTAAATTGGCAATATTGTCTCCACCACATATTAGAATAGAACTTAAATATTCCCTATTGTATAAATTTTTTTTTCATCAGTAACTTGTGAATACGTACAGGCAATCTCAATATCTTGTTTATCATTAATTAAAAAAGGGAATTTTTATATGTCTAAATAAATTATTGAAAAACACAACTTTTAAGATTATTTGTTCTTTGTATCAAAAATGATAGATTTTTAATTTGTTGCTAAATATTTATTTCAATTAGGTCCAGTTTCATAATCGAATTAAAGGGACTTTAAAATTAATGTTGCTTTAGAATGTGAAATTTTTGCCAACAAGTCCGTAGTAATCAGCAGGATCTAAACCAACATTAATTTTAAAGTCCTTTTAATTTGATTATGAAACTGGCCCTTACATTTTTTAATTCTAAGTAGAAATAAAAAAATAAAATAAAACTGACTTAGGGTCTTGAAAAAATACAATATTTTAGAAGATATCTGTTTTTTAAGTTTTTCAATATAAACCAAAATTAACTTTAAATATTCTTTAATTCGATTATGAAATTGCTCTCTGCAACCTCACGTAAATCAAATTTCCTTAATTTGGTACTTGGAAAAACGTAATTAGACGAGAAAGTAAGACTGATACTCGTAGAAGCAAAAGAGTTGGGCTTATACATAAAACAATTAATAAGGACAATCTGCTTTTGATTTATTTTTTTTTAATTTTTGAATTTTGAATTCAAGGCTTTTTTCAAAACTTCAAATACCATTAAAAAAAACTTAAGATAGTTCCAAATTAGTAATTAACACTCCAAAAATACAGCTTCTAACATTTAAACAAGGGAAAAAAAGTGAAAACTTGGACAGTGCAATTAGAATTTCAGAAACTTAAAAATATCAGAATATTGATTTGAAAATTGAAGACACTTGTTTATTATTAGCGTTTAGCTCATTTATTTGAGTTAAAGAATAAATATGTAGTTAGTTTATTGGCTACGTTTACATGACATTGACTTTATTTCTGCTTGACTAAGTTTAGTGCAATTTATTCGTGACGTTCAAAAGTTTCTGATTGAATTAAAGAGTTTATTTTATTTAAATTGGAATTAATTGAAGCCATTGAAATAACTGCATTGTCTAAAAAAGGGTTATGTTGGTATTAAAATCAGTGTAAAAACAATAAACAAAATACTGAGCAAAACTGTTAACTAATGCATGGAGTGAGCAACGTTGTAAAAGTTGGTAATTTTATCTTGGTGATATTATCTATTACACTACCCAACAATTTTTTTTTCTTTAATGTGAATGATCTATTGACACGTGTATCAGGGTACATTAACATCCTTAATTACGAATTTGGTAAGAAAAATTCTCCATCACGTACAGATTTTAAGTTACAGGAAAATAGTTTTCTCATATTTTATCGTAAAAGTTGTTCATTTCAAATAGAAATTAATTAAATAGACGACGAAAGAAATTAATTTATTCACTAAACAAGAACAATGTTGAAAGATGTATAAGATTCTAACATAAATCTGTTGTAGATGAGTTTTTTGCAAAAGCTGACTTTCTTTTGTAGAGTGTTTTAACTTCCCTTATCAGGTACCAGCAGTAATCCCTCATCATAGCTGGATCCCATATCCCTTGGTCCCTCTTTTCCATCGTCAGTATATCCTGGCGGAACCTTTTCCCTTGCTCGTCACTAACGGTACCCAAATTTGGGGGAAAAAATTAAAATGAGAATGGAGAAAATGAATTTTAAGTGTTTCGTTTTTCGGCGATTTTGTCGAACATACTTACATATGATATCTTAAAATGTCTAACTTTAAAATCTGACGTGCTATGGAATTTTCTCATCATTTTTGAGTTTAGCACATAGAATTGAACAAAAAATAAATGTTTCATCTCAGTCACAAAATGCTTGTTGAGTAGTGTTATTATTTAATGCCACTGGGAAAAGTGTAGACTATGTATTCAGTTCGCGAGAATAGCAAATAAAGTTAAACTTTTCACTCAGTGAATCTCAATAATTTTCTTGTACATAATAATTCGATATTAATGTAGTTAATGTTGCGGATTGATTTAATTGTATTAAACATGAAAAACCTTTCAGATTTCTTCTAAAAGACGGACAACTGTGGTTGTGCAAAGAGCAGGCTAAACAAATCTGGCAATGTCTGGCCGAAAATGCAGTTTTTCAATCGGATCGCGAAGCCTGTTTCAAGTGGTTTTCGAAACTAATGGGTGAAGAACCCGACTTAGATCCCGGAATAAACAAAGACTTTTTCGAAAACAACATCCTAACACTTGATCCGCTTTTACTCACCGAAAGCGGAATAAAATGTTTTGAACGTTTTTTCAAAGCAGTCAACACCAAAGCTGAAAAACTTAAACTGAAACGGCGCTCCCTACTTACCGAAGATCCCGATCTGATCGGTTTAGACTATTTGTGGAAAGTGGTGACTTTATGTCCCGATGACATCGCCGAAAGAGCGATCGAATTACTACGCGAAGTTAGTACGAATTTAGGGCCGAGATTACAGCAGTCGCAGATGGAATTCCACGAGAATTTTATAACGGAGTGTCACGACAGACTGCGTGCTCATTACGATACGGTCACAGTGTTGCAAAAGACGGAAAACGACAAAGATTTCAATAAGAATCAAATGCAGAATAGGATCAGAGCCGAGGCTGTGAAAATGTGTAGAGTGATGCGTGTCCTACATGAGTATATAAGTGAATGTGATATTGCTTTTTTGGGAGAGAGGAAAATTCTACCGTTGTATAGGGCTTGCAGAGGGAAACATTTGGCGGTGATTGTGCGATTTTCAAGTCCTAGTCGGCAAGTCGAAGACTTGGAAATGTTTACACATTCGAACGATACGTTGGCGTCATTGCGTAGGCACATTTTGCGCCGAATCAAACCGGGGGTTCACTGTAAATTAGAGCTTTTTATTAACGGGGAACTTCTGGATCCGGCCGATGATCGAAAGTTGTTGTCACAGATGCCAATTCGGGACAAAATGGTAATTATTTTATTGTGTGAAAAAGTCGTGTAATTTTAGCTAAATTGTAGCTTATTTCGGCAAAGGTGATGCAAGTCAATTCCAATATGGCATCGTCACAAGACAGTAGTTCCGATAGTTCAACTTCGTCGCCACAACATCCCTACGATGGACCTAACATTGAAGCGGAAAATTTGTTACCAGGTGTTCTCATGTCGACTCAACACGTTTACGCTCAGTTTTTCTGTCAATTGTCTCATCTCGGGAGCGTTTTGGAGTACCCCCCGCTGCGAGATGGAGGCTACGGTCTTCTCCAATTAATGCCTTGTGATACTGAAACAACGGAAAAATTGCGAATTCTTTTTACCACTCCCGGGGAACAAAATATTACAATGGATAATATGTTTTTCAGTGCTACACCAGCTGAAGTATGTTTCAGGTTGATCAAATGTTGATTTTAATTGTTTTTCTCATAGGTATTGTATAACTTGGAAGTATTATATGCGATGTTGATGCCAGCGATAGAACCGTTATCGGAAAAAACTTATGAATTTCAATACAGTTTTATGACGTCGGGCGAGGCTCATCTATTTCTAGAAATGTTAACGAAAAACAACTTTATGTCAAGTGCCGACAATGTTACTCGTAGATCAGCATATTTAGTAGTTTTAAAAATTTGTAAACTTATTTTAACGTCTGTTGCACATGTACTTGTGAGATTGAGTGAAGATCATACACCACCGGAAACAGAACCGAGCAGCGAAAACATCACAACGCCTGGAATGCATCTTAGATCGGCACTAAGAACGATTCCTGGACATTCTGATCAGGTAATTAATTAATTTTCAATTTTTAACGGTGACACTCAAACGTGGAATTCCAATAGAATTCTGTTTTTTTATAACTAAATTTTGGTATTCTGATTTTGAAAATCGGAATTCGGACTTCTAATGAGTAAATTCTAACTTTGGATTCTAACCGGAAACACCACAAAATAGTTTCTAAACTTCCCAATCAGCAATTTTCATAGTGGCTACGTACGTTCACTTTTTCTGGAACTTCAAAGTAAATTGCTACGATAGATTATTATGTAATTATAATTTCGTAGACTTTCCCAAAGTGGGGAATAGCCCTAAAACTGGTTTGTTACTATTTCGTCACTACCGACATTACATTTCAACGACTTTATAATTACCACGAATTTACTCAATGGATACGTAGAAAAGTGGTTTATTCGCCTTCTTTATGAAAAGTATTTACAATTTTACAGTCTTGTTTTCGTCTCTCTCAGAATTATCAGGTATTCCATAATGTCTAACAGAATTTCCTAGCTCTATCAATGGATATCAGCAATACAGTTTAAAAACTACCTACCGAGTATAATTACTAAATAGATGTTTAAGCAAATTATAGTCAACAAGATGTCTAAATCTTAAAACAAATCCAAGTTTTGTTGCATAAAACAGACGCGCCCTTAAAATTGTAATTATTAAACAAAAAACAATTATTTTTTTCTAGATTTTTTTAAATAATAATGTTACGTTTTGAAACATTTTAAAGCTATTTTTGTGCTTCTATTTGCCAGAAGTATTTATACCTTTAATATTTAAGTTATTCTTAAAAGAAACATAATAAAGTAAACTCTGGTACTTAACTATAGCACCACCAAATTTTTTTGAATTTTCAGCGCTTTTAAAGTTATTTAAAGAATATTAATTTCAAGAGTTGAAATATGATTCAATATTTATTGTACTAGTATATAATGACATTTAAACCTTGTAATTTTGAATTAATTACAAAACCTTTTTTTACTAATTTTATATTTTATTAAATATTATTTGGAAGCTTTAACAATATGGCGTATTTAATAACAATTACTTTATACTTGTTATTCGTTGTAAAAGTATGTTTGAAGAAGAAATTCTTCAAACATAACTACAAAGTATTTTTTAAAGTAGCCATGTTAAAATAACAAAAAAAAAGTTATTAAGTGGATACCACCCTTTGAGTACGTAAAATGAAGTCGCAAAAACGTTTTTCTGACTTTATTTTTCACCATGAAGTTATAAAGACTTACAAGTAACATTTTATTTAGACTCAATAGTTACTGCTACTATAAATGATTACTTTTAAGTACGAGTATATCAAAAGAAGTTTAGTAGAGTAATTATTTAGTTTGCGATTCTAAAAAGATAACTACAAAGTTTCACAACTGTATCGTTTTTAAAACCAATAAAACATACGCACTTTTTACTAAAATTGTGGTTAAGTGGTTAATAAAGCCTTAGTCTAAAAAAATGACGTAATTATGATAAGTCTACTAGTCAAAGTTCCCTTTACTTTTTCCGAATGTTTACTATAAATTGGAATTTTGAAAATTAGAAATTCAGATTTTTATATTAAGAATTTCAAGTTTTATGTTTGTTTAGTCAAATTACAAAGTAATGAGGGCTATTCTGTGATTGAAGTGTTATGTAAAAAAATAACACTCTGTTAAATCCTGAATTGGTATTCTATGAATCAAAATTATGTTAAAATTTAACCATTTAACCATTAGTGTTAAGTTACACTATTAAACTTAAAATTTTGAAGTGCTAACAGCATGCCTTTAAAAAATTAACAAAATGGCAGCAATTGCAGGTTTTTTATATTCTTACAATAAAAAAATTCTAAAAATGTAATTGTGTGTGTTAGAGTGAGATTATTTTTCAGATTTTGCGTCAGGTGTCGATGAAGTTATCTCAGGGTCTCTCCCAATTGATGGTTGCGGAAACTGGAAGTACCGGTCAGGCACAGGCTTTGTTCAGTCAAGCCCTAAATTGGGAACTACCCGATTTAAACACAACGTTGGCATTACTGCGTTTGGTGTGGGCAGCAAGTAGTGGTAATTTGAATGCTTTGAACGCCTCACCTGAAGTGCTTCATTCCCTCGCCGATCCAAAGAAACGCAACGTACCGTTAGAATTACACACCAATGAGATTCTCTTGGTGAAAGAAGCATTGGAACTGCTCAGCATTGCTCTAGTCCTGAATCCTAGTAGTTTGCAACATCTTTATCACGATAAAAGGTGGCCTTATTTTATTACGGATTTAGTTCTATTGAATCCCAGTTGCGCTGTTCGCATCGCCGCAGCCGAACAACTGATCATCATTTGTACGTGTGGTGCTGCAAGTCGATTAGCTCTTCAGTCGATCACACCTCTGCTGTTTTCATTATTGGACACGTTAGTGTTGGAGAATGCTAATACTTCGCACGAACTTTTTCAACTGTTGAGTCAGTTAGTGAACGTTGCTTATTTGACGGGTTGTCCATTACAGAACGCTGACGCTTTATTAGCCAAAGAAGTTGCATGGTTGCGAAAGGCGAGAGATAAAAATGAAGTTCTAATTGAAGGACATTTGACGTTGACGAAAGAGTTGCTTCATTTTCTTACGCCTGAACAAAAGTGCGAATTAGGAAGTGCCGATACGGGGAGTTTTATTAAGGAGTTGCTTGAAGATTTTCTCTTCCCGGCGAGCAAATTGATGTTGCTTTTGAGCAAAACGGGACAGTTGGGTGAAGATCCAGCGATACCTGTTTGTGATACACCGCAAACACAAGCAGCGGCTTTTAATCTTTTGATTTCGCTCTGTTTGAATTGTGTACAGAATTTTAAGCAGTTGGTCAACATGTTGACGGAAATGTTCTATTTGGGTAAGTGGTAACTTTTGTTTTTATTGTATGCGAGAAAAATAGTATGGAAGGTTATACACTGGCCGCCAAAATTAACCGGACAACTAAAATTTTGCGATTTTTCACATTGCAATATTTTTGTTATTCTTTGACGGATTTCGGCTTAAAGAACGAACTTTGCAGAACATTGTAATTTAATTCAATTCCCATTTCTAGTTTTGTCTTGTAAATGTTATACCTAAAACAAAGAGAGCACTGTTTTTTACTTTTTTATATTGAGTTATAGTGTGCAACAAAGACAAAATGAAGTTTTTACTTAATTCAGATTATTGCACATTCTTTTCTGAATGAGGACTAATTTATTTCAAAATTTTATCTTCTGGGTCCCTGGAGATACAAAGCATTGAAAAAGATGTTGCTTTTCTAATGTTACTAAATATTCGTTCAGAAAGTAGGCTACATAAAAAGGTAGTTAAACCGAAAATTATTGCTTATGTCACCAAAGAGAAATTGGAAATGTAATGCTTTTTTTGAAGGTTTATGTCTCATGTCTCAAGAATTAAAATTGTGGAAAATGTGGTACATAATTCAGAAAAGAATGGGTAATTTTCTGAAATCAGTCTCTGTCGCACATCACAGCTCAATTTAAAAATAAGTAAAATAACAGTGCCTCCATCTTTTGAGTATCACATTTAGAAGACAAAACTAGAAATATTACACAGGGCGACAAAAAAAAGGTTATGTCGTGACAACTTGACAAATTTTATGTCATTTTGTTCGTCTCAGTGAGACAAATCAAATACACTAAAAAAAAATTCAAAAAGTCCACACACTTTGAACTAAATAATTTTTTTACAATTTAAATGAATCTAAAATATTAAAACAAACAAAGAGTACCTGCGTACTAATAAAAGCAAATAAAGAATTTTTTGATCTAAAAATGATCACTGATCATTGAGCAAAAAGGATCGAGAAGTTTAAAGCAGTAGCTTTAAATATAAGAACAGATCTTTTTCAAATTAAATCACTTTCCATTCAGATTCCAACTTATTCACTTTGTTCTAGCTTTCTGAACTTTTTTTTGAAAATGTTCTCAGCAAATGCTTTCTCATCACATTCTACTGAATGAAATAAGTAAGTAAATAAGTAAGAACATTTTCATAAAATTGGAACAAAGAAGGTGCAATTGTCCATTTTTAAGCAAAAGAAGAGTCTTAAAACAAATACTTTTATAAAAATGCAATTTTAAGTAAGATTAACATGCATTTTTCCTATCAGGGTGCGCCAGAACTCGCGCCCCAGATAAAAATGTCATATAAGGTAAGATACCAGGAACATGGAGAAAATGTTAAAAAAAAATTATCTATAAAAATTTCTAAGTTATGAGGGTTTAAAGTTTGCACTTTGACACTATTTATTTCTGTTGGAAAAATAATTTTCAAAGTTTTTTTGCTATAGGCTATTAAAAGAGGAAACAAGGAAGCTGTATCCTAAATTGTAACTCTGTTCAATGTTATTTGTGGCTTTTATTGGCAAAATTTTTGTCTCTTTACTAAATAATTGTAAAAAAAAACATATACAAGATCATCAGTATCATTAAATAGATATAAAAAAATGTCAAATGTCAAAAACGAGATGTCAAAATTTTTTGATAGATAGAATTTTTTAAACATTTTTTTCATGTTCCTGGTATCTTACCTTACTTGAAAATTTTCTCTGGGGCGCGAGTTCTGGCGCATCCTGTACAGAGCAATGCTTGATTAGTAAACCTTAACTTCGAAAAACCATATCTTGAAAACTACTCGGTATATTTTTTTGAAAATTTGGATTACATCTAATAAAGATGTAATCCAAATGCTCTACACGATGGTAATGACGAAAAAATTACTCGTAGGGTTTTTCTTAGATTATTTTGATTTACTTCGAACTTCTTTGAACACTGTTCGAAGAAAAGTTTGGCAATATTCAATTTCAAATTTTATATCATTCTAAAGGGCAAGGCCATCCCTTGAAAATGGTCTTTATTTGAAGGAAATCTGCCTAATAGTTATTGAGTAATGATTTTTTAAAGTTAAAGTATTTTAAATTCATTTAAATTAGAAAAAAAATATTTAGTTCAAAGTGTGTGAACTTTAAAAAAAAAAAATTTTAAGCATTTGATTGGTCTCACTGATTCCAACAAAATGATACATAATTTGTCAAGTTGTCACGACATGACTTTTTGTTTGTCGCATTGTGTTATTGAATTAAATTTCAATGATTTACAAAGTTTTTTCTGTAAGCCAAACAAAAATTCGTCGAAATTCGACCAAAAATAACAAAAATATTGCAATGTAAAAAATCGCAAAATTTTTGTTGTCCTGTTAATTTTTGCCCCAAGGTATCTATCTAGTAGTGAAAAAAATATTTTGTTTATTAGATGCCGAGACAGCGATAGTGGAATGGGATTATCTGCCCACCATTGGTCCTCGTCCATTTCAAGGTTTCGTTGGTTTGAAGAACGCCGGAGCCACATGCTACATGAATTCGGTGTTGCAACAGTTGTACATGGTGGAAAGCATCCGTGAAGGCATTTTGGCGGCCGAAGGCGCGGCCACCGACCCAAACGAAGATTTCACCGGCGAAGAGCGTCTAGAATTAGATGCCGATTGTACCGACGACCGCAATTGTTTCGACGATAACCGAAAAGATTACAACGTCGGTATTCTGAAGCAGGTACAAGCAATATTCGGTCACTTGGCCTGTTCACGCCTTCAATACTATGTGCCTAGGGGACTTTGGAGACATTTTAAACTTCAAGGTGGCACTTGTGTGAGAGTTTTTTGGTTTTATAATCGATCGTAACGTCATTTCAGGTGAGCCAGTTAATCTGCGGGAACAACAGGACGCTGTGGAATTTTTCATGTCGCTTATAGAAAGTTTAGACGAGGCGTTGAAAACCCTCGGTCACGAACAGATCATGTCCAAGATTTTGGGCGGTTCGTATTCTGATCAAAAAATTTGTAAAGGTTGTCCTCATCGGTATTCGAAAGAGGAGCCGTTCAGTGTTATTAGTGTAGACATAAGGAATCATAGCAGTTTGCAAGATTCGATGGAGCAGTATGTCAAAGGTTGGGGTCACATTAGATTTTTTTTTCTGGTGTGTAACTTAATTCGGGTTTTAGGTGAATTATTGGAAGGCGCCGATGCTTATTATTGCGAAAAGTGTGCTAAAAAAGTAGTAACAGTGAAACGACTGTGTGTTAAGAAACTACCACCTATTTTAGGAATACAGTTGAAACGATTTGAATATGATTTTGAACGAGTTTGTGCCATCAAATTTAACGACTATTTTGAGTTCCCTAGAGATTTAGATATGGAGCCGTATACTGTCTCGGGGTTGGCTAAAATCGAAGGGGAGATTATAGACTGTGATTTAGATCCTAATGCAAGTGATACATGTACTAAATATCGCTTGTCTGGGATAGTTGTACATTCAGGACAAGCCTCAGGTACATAAATCCCTATCAAAGTAAAAAAAATACATTTTTTTTTTCTTAAGGTGGTCACTATTATTCGTATATTAGACACCGGGATGCTTCCGGTGAAGTCAGGTGGTATAAATTCGATGACGGTGACGTATCAGAATGTCGAATGGGCGAAGACGAAGAAATGAAAGTCCAATGTTTTGGGGGCGATTACATGGGAGAGGTATTTGATCCGATGTTGAAACGAACAACATACAGAAGACAAAAACGGTGGTGGAACGCCTATATGCTTTTTTATACCAGACATGACGTTGAAGAAAATTATCTAACAAAAGCGATGAACGAAATGAAAATAAGTAAATAATTTATTCTTGTGAGGGATTAAAATTTAAATTTTGTTTTCAGCAGGTCGAAGAGAAACACATCTAAAAATGCCGGTGGCAATAGAGAATAGCATCCGCAAGCAAAACATCAAATTCCTTCATCATAGGAGTCAATTCTCGATAGAATATTTTTCGTTTATAAAAAAATTAGCCAGTAGTTGTGCGCAATCGAATCCTCGTTCCGGCCAAACAAACGACTTGATTGAACAACAGACTTTACTCAGCGTTCAACTGCTTAGTAATTTTCTGTTCCACACTGGATGGCATACGAAAAAGAACTTGCGCGGTCCTGCAATGGACTGGTGGGTTTTTACTTCATAATGTAAATAAAAATTCTCATATTTGTTATAGGTGTGATGTGTTATGTATGCACTTGCGATTTTCGCCAGCAATTCGGTCATGGTTCGCCCACAACATGTTATTCAGTCACATGCACAGATTTTGCGACTATCTTCTCAGCTGTCCGAGTAACGAAGTTAGATCCGCTTTTATTAAAATCATCGTTTTATTGGCACATTTTTCGATCAATGACGGTCCGTGTCCTTGTCCCCCCGGGATGAATAATCCCGATCCTAATGCGTCATTGAGCGATCATGTGTTGTGGGCTCTTTTGGGTCTACTTCAAAGGGAAGTGAGCGAACATGGGCGTCATTTACCGCATTATTGTTCTGTTTTTCACATGTATGCTAATCAAGGTAAAATTTGAGTTTGAGTTTTATGGGGGGTTGGAAAAGTGACAATGAATTGATTGTAGGTGTACAGGAGAAGGCTCAACTTTTGAAAATGAACGTGCCAGCTACGTTTATGTTGGTCGCATTGGATGAAGGTCCAGGACCGGCGATAAAATACCAGTATACAGAATTAGGAAAGTTAAATCAATTAGTTTCATGTTTGATACGTTGCTGTGATGTTAGTTCCAAATGCCAGTCGAGTACGGGTGGCCCCATTTTACCTAATCCGTATGCGGATCCGATGTGTCCCGATTATATTATGCCGATATCTTCTCAAGCCGCCGATATTCTCTATAATCGTTCTAGGTAGGTGATATTATACAGGATGTCTCACCTAAAACTTGCGAATCTAATATCTCTGTTTTTTGTCAACGGATTCTACCAAAATTTAAAATTTAGATTGTTTAGTAGGCGGATTACTAAAACAATCCTAGCCCTTAAAATGTTATTTTAACATGTCTTTTAAATATGCTAAATTACTTAAAATTTATATCAAATTATTAATCGACAATAAAAGGAAAAATGTGTCCTTGAAAGAGGTTACGCTTATAAGAAAAAAAGAATAATGTTGTGTTAAAAATGGCTGAAGATGCAGAAACATGTGCGGCTGTAAAAGAAAAGAACGATATTATCACTTGGCTCCTGGGCAACAATGATATTGCTATTCGACGTTTATTGTCTCTCTAACTTTAAAAAATTAATAACAGCACCACGCGACATTTTTTTTATTTTTTTTTCTCACATTGGTATCCTATGTAATTTTGTTCAGAAAATCAAAAAATAATACATAGTAATGTCCCGAGTTCAAACCAAATTGTCGTTAATTTTTCCCGAACAAAATTTATAAAAACAATAATTTGTTAAATAAAAATTGTCAATAAAATCTTTCAAATGTTTGAGATTCATCCAGTCAGATTCGCGATAATTTAGCCGTGCTGAATTATCTCGTAATTTAAATCTGATTGGATGAATCTCAGAAATTTGAAAGATTTGATTAGCTTAAATTTAGTGAGGAAATAGTCATCGAAATTCTCCATCACATAAGGTTTTTTTGTTTTCTTATTTAAATAGTGGTCGAAGTAATCACTCATATTCACGATATAGACTGAACTAAAAAAATTATTTAAACCATTTCTAATTTTAAAATACACAAAATGGAACACTAGATAATAAATTGAACACAAATTTAACAAAGAAATATTTTGAAGAATTTTGTTTTTATTTTTATGAGGAGTAAAGTCTTCCTTTTGCAGAAACCTGCAGAAAACCCTCATCATTGTCATTGTATAGGTCTAAAGTTTTGTAGAAAGAAATAGTTTTTAGATAAATTTAGAATAATTTCCATTTTTATTTATGCGAAGAAATTTCAAGCAATTACATAATTTTTGAGTATTATATTTTGCACAAAAACTTCATTTCCAGATCACTTTCCAGATTTGTGGTGATCCGAAAATTCTTTCTTGAATTTTCGCATCACTTACTATAGGGCAATTTTGTCTCATTAGATACAAAAAAGATTCATTTCTTACTTTCTTAAACGGAAAATAATTGATTTGCGATTTCAAATCGGTAGTAAAGGATGAAATTTAAATGTCATAATAATGCCCTAGGTTAACGTTTATCAAAAAATATACAGGTGCGCCAGAACTCGCGCCCTAGAGAAAAATGCCATGTAAGGTAAGATACCAGGAACATGGAAAAAATGTTAAAAATTTCTAAGTTATGAGTTTATAAATTTTGCACTTTGACTCTTATTTATTTTTGTTGAAAAACAATTTTTCAAGTTTGATTGCTACAGGCTGCTAAATTGTAACCCGGTTTAATGTTATTTGTGGTTTTTATTGGCAAAATTTTTGTACTTTTACTGAATAATTATAAAAAAAAAAACATACAAGATGATCATTATCAAAAAATGTCAAATTTTTTTTTTGACAGATGGAATTTTTTAAACTTTTTTTTCCATGTTCCTGGTATCTTACCTTACTTGAATTTTTTCTCTGGGATCGAGTTCTAACACACCCTGTGATAAGATTGGTACCAAGAATTATGCTTGTTAGAAAAATCATGTCGCCTAGTGTAACTTAGAAACGAAACGAATTCAACACAACAAAAGATTCTCCAAAGTACCACCACTAGCATCAACAGTTCTAAAGGTGTCCTAACTTAATTTACCATAGGCCTTCGAGGTGTATAAAATGGTACTTGGAGACGTTAAACTGTTTTTAGAGTTAACTTCGATAAAGGTTTTTAAAAAATTAGGTCAAAATTTTAACAACTTAATCAACGTATTTCTGTGATTCAGACCAGTGATTTAGTTATTTTTTTGTGTAGAGGTCTATTTTTTAGTGCTAAACAATATAATAGTAGTTTCGTTTTATTTTAAAATGAGAAAATATTGTTGTTATCTTGAGGTATTACTAATACTAATTGAATCGTCACATCTTCTAAGTTGCTTTTATTTTAAATTTCACAAAAGTCCGTTGGCAAAAAAAAGAGATTTTAAACCTGAGAGTCTTACGTGGGATAGGACAAGAAACCGTTTTGTGTAACTTTTCTTTTTAGTTATATCAAAAAAGTAATCGAGGACACCAATTTAACCGACGAAGCCATCAAACTCCTCCAGTTTTGTTCATGGGAGAACCCTCACTTTTCGCGCACCGTTCTTTCCGAACTCTTGTGGCAGATCGCATTCGCTTACTGTCAGGAACTTCGTCATCACATCGAGATCCTCTTATCCGTTTTAGTGATTGAAGACTCGTGGCAAACCCACCGCATCCATAACGCAATCAAAGGCGTTCCTGAGGAACGCGAAGGTCTCTTAGAGACGATAGTACGTGCCAAGAATCATTATCAGAAACGAGCTTATCAGTGTATAAAATGTATGGTGGCGTTGTTCAGTAAATGTCAAGCTGCTCGCATGATGTTGAATAATCAGACGGATTTGAGAAGGACTTGGACGGCATCAGTGGCGTGGCTACAGGATGAATTGGAGCGAAAGTACCCGGCTAGTACCCAATACGCTTATAGTACTTGGTCGCCTCCAGCACAGAGTAATGACAGTTCCAATGGATACTTTTTGGAGAGGTCAACCAGTGCGAGGAAGACTTTAGAGAGGGCGCTGGAATTGATGCCGGATTTGGAACGGGAAGAAGAGGACGTGAGTGAAGAGCAGGAATCTCAGGAAGAGGTAGTAGAGACGTCGCAAAACGAGGAAAACAAGCCTGAGCTACCTGATATAACACAAAGTTGCGAACACACTCCTAACACGTATTAGGTAAAGTTTCAAGGCCACACCTCACTTAGTACTACGCACGGTACAAATTTCACCTCCCTCTTGACATTTGAATTGCCTTTTGAATGTATTTCGTTGTGTATTTGCAATGCTTCGTGAATTTTGTACCATGCCGCTTCAAGAGCCACATGTATATTTGTCTATTTATTTAAAAGTGGGACATGTGATATGTATGTATATAAACCTGACCTGACGCATTTTCGAATTTTTATATTGACCGGAATGCATTTCTGCTTACGTTCCTTTCTTGCAAGCAGTCCCATTTATTAATATTCTTATCAAATGAAATACATGAAGCTGCTCGAAAAATCTAAATACTGTTACTGGCCGCAAGGTTTCCTTTTTCGACTGCTTTTTATTAAAACTCGGTTCGGTTCATGTATGGTACAGTAATGATGTTCATATGATTCGAGTGCTTTTGAATAGATAGTAAACAGTTTGTCTCTAACATAAAATTCAATGTAAATATCACTAGCAAAATGAAGTTTTGTGCTTTTATTATGGTGAATAATGACATAACCATTATTATTTTGTGATAATTTCTTGTTTGATATGTACTTTGAAGTCATAACTAAATTTAACTTTTATGAAAAAATTTACTCTCGTGTCTATTTATTTTCACGAAATTAATTTTAGAGTAAGGCAATCTATTTTATGTATATATCCACTACTGTTACGTTTACATTTTCGTGGTAGAGTAACTACCGATCATGTCACAGGTATTTTATGTGTATTTATTATCAAATATACATATAGCTTATTTGTATAGATAATACTGTATATTTATTTCCCCTCTTTTAACTCGATTGAAATGTGTTCATTCAATCGTTATTGCGTTAGGTTTTGTTATGACTTTCAGACGAACCAACTTGTAAGAATTAGATGTTACTTGAAGTTATTTTAATTATATTTAATAATATTGAAATTAACTGTTAATACAATATGCCTACAAATCATGGCGGATATGTATTGTCTATATCCTTTAACAAAATTTGTTACATGATGGCCGCTCCTGCTTCATTTATAGGTCGGAGAGGTAACCAGCATTTTGATGGTTTATTTTAAGAGTTTTTTCAGTATCATTTTCATTTAAGCTTCTTTCCAGACTTACACTTTGTTTGTATATTATAATTTATATTAATTCATTATAAATAAAATTTAAACTTTTAGATTGTAGTTAATTTGAATAAATGTACAAAACTCCCATTTTACCTAAAATTGTGATTTTTTCTCACTACCTTTTTCGCGCCTACTATAAAACAACGCAACTCTTAATACAGGGTGCAACACATTTTAAGACATATTTTTGTTATACAAAATCCAAGTGGCGTAATTCCTTTTTTATTCGCAAAGTCCATTATTTTAAACAATTTTTGTATTTTTAAAAATTTTTGTATCGACTTTGGTTTTATAGTAATAAATAATTAAAGTAGACAACAAAATTTCGGACAAAAATTTTAGGTTTTAGTTTCTTCTGATTCTGTTAACAATAATGTTATTAATTACTAAATCATAATTTCATTGGCGTTCTCTAACTTTTAAACGGTGCAACTTGGGAATCTCAGGTTACTTTTTGTCCCCATCTTTTCGTTACACCCTGCATATCTCGTAGTCGCAACTTAACCTTAAAAACAATCAAATTATGAACACTGCACGGATTTTTGAGTATTTTTTAATTTGAATACCGCGGGTGAGTTTAGGGTTTGGGTATAAGTGAGCCACAGTTGGCAATTCTTTGGTTGGTAGCTTTGCGGGTTAGAAAATCTGTCAAAATTTGAGTGTTGTTTCTGGAATTTTTTGCATGTGATTTAAAAATAGCCAAAATTTGTTAATGCGCAATTTTTAAAAATGGTAGGTTTTTCATGTGGAAAATGTACTTAATACCGTTTCGTTTTTTCAGTCTGGTGGGATAATTTTAGCGGGGTTGGGCTTGGCAGCTGTGGGTTTCGCAGGGCGATATGCCCTGCGACAGCTCCCAAATGTGACAAAAACAGTAAACGAAGCAATGAAAAATTTACCAAAATTCGATGCCGAGACGATGGCCAATGCGAAATATTACAAAGGGGGTTTTGATCAAAAAATGAATCGCAGAGAAGCGGCTTTGATTTTAGGTTAGGATTGTGATTTATTTTTCGTGATATTCTAACAATTTGGTTTCAGGAGTTAGTCCAACGGCGAGCAAAGCAAAAGTAAAAGACGCTTTCAAGAAAGTGATGGCTGTTAATCATCCAGATCGAGGAGGGTCCCCCTACTTAGCATCAAAAATTAACGAAGCTAAAGATTTCTTAGAGAAACATTCGAGATAACCACTAGCGATTAGGGTACGTTTTAGCATGTAAATAAATTGTAAAACACTCAAAAATGTAATGGCTGTATAAAGTAGACAAAAAGACTAGATTCATGTAGATACAAAAATAAAAACTAACGTAATTTATTCACTTTTGATATTTCCTTCTTAACTTCTCTAAATTACTTGAAGGAAAGCTGCCTGGAAGCTTAAACACATCCTAAAACAATTGTTTAGTACTTACATACTTTGTTTTTTGTGAAAACTTACATTCATAAATTGATGGCAGTTAATAACATTTTCATGGCTGCGCATATTTCTAAAACATGCGATTAATTCACTTAACTCCGAAGTTTGTAAAATTAGTGGTTTATGTATTTTGATTAAAGTAATAGCGACTCGTAGCAAAATCTTGGAACCTTCATAAAATAAACAGTCCCAAATTCGCAAAACTGTCTCAGTTGGTAGAACTTCCGAATACAGACAAATAAACCATTTAGTCGTGCCCAAAGCCCAAGGCATGCCTATATTTTGTATATGCTGATGAATGGTAGGTTCAGATTTTTGTATCAGAACATTTAGAACGTCTAAATCTGTGAGCAAGCCAGCCATGCTTGGAATATAATACTTGGGTAATATTTTTTCAACTAATGTTTTAAGTAGCCAAAATGACGCCTCTTCGCTTTTCGTCGCGAGTAACAATAGGCCGGCTATGTAATTCAATCCTTGGCAATAGCCCACCTCAGAGTTTTGATGAGCAAACGTGGCCAGCACATTAAACAGCTGCTGAGGTAAATGTTCGTGATTTGTAAAATAAATGTTGTCAGGGAATGTCCTTGGAAGATCAATTTGGATGGTTTCAATGAGCCCTCTATTGTTAATCTTCCTTTTTAACTCTTGATAAGTGTAAGGACTCTCATCTCTTAATTTACTAGCCCCTGACGTTGACATCCATACCGCGACTCGTCGGTCACTGGGAATGCCTTTGCGTATGAAACGTTTCAAAGTATTGGATTTTCCATAACTGCTGTCTTTTATTGTATTCCATCTTAGGGACCTCCTTGTTAGTATCCTCATGTAGTTTGACATGAACTCATCATAGGCTTCATAATTAAAATTATCAGGTCTTTCGAATCCATATTCGTCAACTTTACTACAAGGAAAAATTATTATCAAGCGGTGGTCTATATTTAATTACCTGTAGCTAGATTTTGCCATTGTTTACTTGCTGCTATCTCGGCATGTTCTAATAGATTAGATAGTATTTACCTACTTCCCACAATTATGACTCACTTTTGCAACGACTTTAATTGAAAAGGATACTTGGTATTAATAGCATGACACCAGATGACCTACAATTATTATCATTAATGTACAATTCATTGCGGTCAATCAATAATATCTAACTGTAAAAGCGGCACGAAATAAATTATTTGAATTTTATGAACCACGTTATGAACTTTTTGCCGAAAAACTACCAATTTGAGATTTCTTTCACAGAAAATAATTAAAACACATACCGGGGAATTATTTTTGTCTTCTGTTTTTACTCTTATTTCAAAATTCTGTCCCTAACGCCCACATTTCTCACATTCCACATTCTTATTTTTGATTTTAGGAACTTTAATTTTTCTTAACCTCACTTTTGACTCCTGTCAACACTTGTCAATTTAATAATTTGTGTAGTTTGTAAACAAGAACAAGTTTTTGGCCTTTTGTGTACCAGAAATGTATTATGGGAATTAGAGTTGCTTAAAAAGGGGTAGATTTTGTGTCGTGGATCTGTTATTTTTCAACAATGTCTGTTACTTTGAGCCGTGAACAAGAAGCTTTTCTGGAAGAATGTGCTTTGGAGTTTTCGGACAGATTCACCGACGCTGATTTTGAATACAAGAGAATATACGACTTGGGGATCCCCAAACCCCCAATAATGTGCCAGTGGTATGGCAAAGCTCGGTTTAATCGAGACAGGGGTGAAAATCGATACAATGACCGCAGAGACTACCGTTCTGATCATTACAGAGACCGGAACTCTTATCACAAAGATCGAAAATACAGGCCTTATTAATTTTTGAAAATCCTTTTACCAAAATTTTTCGTTTGGAATATTCAAGTTGGTAGCATTGTTTAGGTTACGAAAGGTTATTTTCTTATTGTTTGCAAATTAGTAGATAAATTGTGTGCTGATTATTTGTTTGATGAGATGGCGAAGAATGTAAGTTTTATTTATATATAATAAAATTTAATACTTTTGTAAATGTCTGAAATAAATAATAAAATAAAAGTCACTAAGATCATTTCGCGGAAACCTGGGAAACAGCTGATTGTGTTGTCAAATAACTGTCAAAACTGTAGGTCTTTTATTTTCGAACCAAAATCCGTGCGATTTTCGGGCCCAAATCGCATAATTGAGTAAAATGGGGCTTCACGATTTTGTAAATTACGTTGTATACGACAATCCTGTTTCAAAAAGTGTCAAAGCTTACGTTCTAGTGAGTCAAAACATTGTTTCAATTGCCATTCTTTGAATTTGTTTGTAGCCCGATAAAATCCCAATTTCTCCACAAACCGTCACTGTAATCCACGAGACGAAACCTTTATGGAAATTGGCGAGTGAGAATGGCCCTTTCGTACGTTTGGCGGGATTGATGGGAGCCTCGGCTGTGGCTTTGGGAGCTTATGGGGCCCACAGATCGTACCCCAAGGACAAGGCCGATGAGCTTAAACCGATTTTTGAAACGGGAAATAGATACCATTTTTTGCACACTTTGGCACTGATGGGAGTACCGCTGTGTAAAAATCCAAAATTGGTCAGTGGATTTTTAAATTTTGGGCTTTTATTCAATTTTTGATTTTACAGAGTGGATCGTTGATAATATTAGGCACAACGCTATTTTCAGGAGCTTGCTATTACCACGCTTTCACTGGAGATAACAAATTTGGGAGACTTGCACCTGTGGGGGGAACTATCCTAATTGTAGGGTGGCTAACAATGATTCTGTAATTTTGTATTAAATGTACATCCTAGTCATAATTAAAATTTAGGTAATTATTTTGTTTGTGTGATGAAGTATTAAATTTAAGTTTGAATTTAGGGATGGGCTTGAAATTTTAATAAGATCAAAAATCATTTGGAAATATCCCAATTGAAGTAGTGTTTTAGCTAGTTGTAATAAATGTCACAAAATCAGAAAAACCCAAAAAACGTCAGCACATTCGACATTTTTCAATGCCATTAGTGAATTAGACATTCATGATTTCCTCTTAAACCTGTGATTTATTTTAATTGTATCAATTGAGTGTAATACATTTTGGGATGTTTCTACTTTGCTTATTTTTCCCTAAGACTGATTAAATGAAATAAAGACCGGTTGTGGTTATGTATACAAATTTTATTGAAACATATTTGTAAATTAAAACTACCTTTTGTTAATAACTGATCACTTCAAGAGTGAGAACGGTAAACTATACATTTGGCAAATAGACCTTAATTAGTACTTCAACTGTTCGTTGTGACACCTTAGAACTACACTCGTGTTCATTGCACACTCAGTCGTTGCCCCCTGTATCTTGAAGAGAAAAACAAAACATAAAACACCAAGCACACTTCACTGCTAACTATAGGTGCCTAAGTAAATAATCACTCAAAATTCTAAATCAACTAAACTTAAAATATCGATTAACATAACAAAAACACATTGATTACCAAAGTAAACAACTTTTTTAATATCACGAAAGAAACAGCAATAAGATATAAATAACTAAACATGTAGCTAGGGCACCTTGACCCACAGTGGGGGCTGCATCTCATGAAATATAATATCAAGTATTCGAACTTTTGCTGACTATTTTTTTAATATGTATAAAATACACTAGTAGAGTTCACGATTTTATCAAACACCTCTTACAGTTTTTATGATAAATAGAAAGAATGCTGTCCTTCAGAGGCAGCCAAGTGAAGTTTCATTCGCATCACTTCGATGCTTGTATAGTCAGGTAATTTGAGGTAGTTAACACAAGTCATCACAGACGGGAGAAAATCATCAGGGTTCATGTTGGGTTCCAAAGTTTTCCGAACCACAGTTAGTGGCGGCGACAGTGCCTTAAACCCTGAAACAAACAATCAAAATGCGAACAATCAACGTTCCCCTTATTACCTCCGACCGGCAGACGCGGACTTCCGGTCAAGAACTGTACAAACATCCTCTGCTCCTCTCGGTCGTAAGAACTCAATACTTCAAACAGGAACCTGATCGCTCTGGAATCGGGTGTGTAGCCATGATCCGGTTTGCAACACTCCATCAACGTCTTGATGTCCCAACCGGAGATCGAATTGCGAGGACTGCCGCAAAACACCGCCTCCAATTCTTCAGGTTGGAACACACGCAGGTTTTGCAAAGGAAAAACAGACTCGAATCCTTCACGCAATGACTCCATCTGGCGGTTAACACCCTCGACCAGCATCCAGTGTGTTACCAATTTTATGTAAAGGTGCAAATTGTGGATTGTGACGTGAGTTGTTTTTCCGTTCTTTATCAACTCGACATTGTGGCCAGGAAGAACAAAGTCTAGGCCGAGTTCGCTGATTGGGCAGCCGTCAAATTCCAGTTTTTCGACCTATCAAATAAAAAGTTTTTTTTGTTGGTTTAAAGAGAAATAAACACCTACCTCTTCTTCCTTCTGTTCTGCTGTCAAATTGGGATCATGTAATATGGCATCCCGTTGTCTTACAACATCGTACATCTTTTTCAAATTCTTGTAAATATCGGGTGCTACATATTTAAGATCGGCAAGAATCAAACAATGTTCTTGTCCCAACAGCCATCGATAAAACGACAACGAAAACGGAAGATCCAACTAAAAAATAAATCTCAATTAAAACGAAAAATGTATGTTAAATTAATACCATTCTAGAATCCATAACAGCCTTAGCCATGAATTTGCCCAAAAACCGAAACTTGCTCTTAACCTTCGTAATCTGTCCAACTTTCGCCCCTCTTGGCAACGGAGAGGGGAACAACCCCGCTGGGCAATTCACATACTCACTGCTATGCGAATCTGGTGCATTCCACAACTCCAAATTACTCTTTTGTAACTCTTTCGATACAAGAGCATAAAACTCCAACGTGGGACCTAATCCCGTACCAACTTCGTTTTCGTATTGTACTTCCAAGAGTGCTTTCGACGACGCCAAATCCTGCATCACTTGTTCGGCTTGTTTCAAAATATCGACTCGAGAAATGGTGCGTTTTCTTCGATCCAATCGTGGAGTGACGCGTTCTTGCGAATCACTGGAACTCAATTCCGGTGACATGTCTAGGAGGCGTTGAAGAGCCCGGTCTCGGTCAAACGAAGTGGCATAGAATAATAGTTGGCGTGTTTCGAATGGAAATAGGAAAGGACAAACTGAAGCGATCTGCTGAAGCCAGTTGGGGAGATTACCGGTCATTATAACTAAGGGATCTTGAAGTTGACGGCTTGCTTTTGCCGCTATTTTACTATTGAGAAATTCCGACAGTGAGATGATCGGTCGGTATTCTATGGCGGGGTATAGAGTGCTCCAATAGAGATTGAGAGCGTTCAAGATACGCAGAAGGCATAGCACTTCCAATGAGGCGTCTTGAATTGTCACTGATTCAGGGAGTTGGGTCGTTAAAAACGGAGACAAAGGCGAGTGCACAAGAGGCGTTATTCCTTCTAAAGGATAAAATAAAAATTGTTATTTAATAAAACAGTCCTACAGGGTGTTATGTAAACAGACCAAAATCTCTTGAGGAATTCTTCCTCCAAGCAAGATTGTTAACGACAAAACTTATTTAATGTGACCACAATATGTATAAACTTTGACAATTACCAATGTTAAATAATGCGATCAGAGACGACGCAAATGGTGTAGTCATAATTTACGTGGAAAAAATAAAAATATTGATTTGAAATGGTTCACTACAAAAGAACTAAAAATAATTAAACCAAAGGTATCTCTAATAGATTTATTGGTAACAAATATTCCAAGTTCTCTCCATTTTGAAGTACATAAGCCGGTACCCGATTAAAACAGCCACTTGTACCTTAATGTTAATATTGTTAATCTAGTTCAAATTTTTTTCAGAAATCGAGTTTCGACAGGAATAAGGCCAACGATTGTTGAGATCCTACACCTTATTTTTTCAGCGGCAAAACCATTTTGAAACATAAATCAGTAACAAATTGCTTATTTTTTAATAAATAATGATTATTTACATTCACTGTTTTGACACTGAATAAAAAATGTTTAGAACGTTTTTTGTCACAAAATAACTAGATACACTAACCGCCAAAATTTACCATACAATTAAAATTTTGCGATTGCAATATTTTTGTTATTCTATGTCGAATTTCGACGAATTTTTGTTCGGCATTGAAAAAGACGTTGTTTTTCTAATGTTACTAAATATTCGTTCAGAAAGTAGGCTACATAAAAAGGTAGTTAAACCGAAAATTATTGCTTATGTCTCCAAATGAGCACAATTACGTCTTTGAATACAAAAAATCTGAAAAACTTGGAACTTCAAAGGATTACAACAAGTAAAATGGTTAATTATTATTGGAAGCTTCCATGTACAGGGAATTTTTTTTTTTTGATGTCCGAATAGGGAATCTCCGAAACTAAGAGGTTTAGCCAAAAACGAGTAATACATTCTGGGGCTCATTTTTTGAGAAAATAATATTGGTTAAAACCGCATCCCGCTATCGTCTTTTGTTTTCGACTTATAGACAAAAATTGACATTTTAACGAAATCTAAAAAAAATCATATCTTTGTTATTATAGAAGACACAGATTTGAAATAAAGACATTGTACAGGCACTTTTTTACGTAGAATTTAATAATGTAGTTAACAATTTTTTTCAGTTGTTTGTTTAGCCGTAATAAAATAAACTTGTATTTTTTTAAATGGGAATCATAGATGGCTATGTCATTTCTAAAAAGCTTGTTTTTTTCTTATCTAAAAAATATATATTTGTTGCATCTTCAACTAAAAGGATTTAAACTATATTATATTCAACCAGTGTCACTAATGAAAGAGTTTTCTAAGTATTAAGTAATGAAAAAGATGCAAAATAAATTGTAAATCAACTTATTGGCGACTAATAACATTTCTTTGTTTTTAAACAAGCTAACATTATCATTGCAACTTCTAGTGATACATAAAGTGTTGTAAAAAAAAGCCGCTTTAATTCTTCAATAAAATATATTTTATATGACACAAAAATGACGATATGGCCATTCAAATACCCAAATTCCGTCTATGTGAAACGTTATCCTACCTCCATTAGATCATCAAAAAAATGTTTTTTCTAATTGTGTTGACTGTTGACACATTTGTTTTTCCTATTTTTGGATTTTTTAAAAATATGTAATAATTTTGTTCTGAAGCGCTCGGATATTTGTTCAATGCTTCTACCGTATCGTATTTTTTAAATCTTTATAATTTTATATATTTTTTCATCTATTTTACAGTTCACAAAACTCTTATTGATTATTATTTACACATTTGGAGTGGAATAGTTTTTCCATGGCCAACTATTATCACACAAAATATGTATTTCACTTTTTAAGTATAGTTATAAAAAAATATTTTGTTACAAATATATATTTTTTAGATCAGAAAAAAATAACCTTCTCAAAATTGCCATAGCCGCCTATGATTTCCATTTAAAAAAATACAAGTTTATCTTATTACGGCTAAACTAATAACTGAAAAAAAATGTGCTTTATTGTCATGATAACTGACATTGAAATATGTATTGTCAAATTTAATCAAATTCGAACATGCCAACAGTAAGTGCGTTTAATAAAATAAAAATTATCTCCCTGGTACAAGAAGGTATGTCCCAAAGACGTGTCTCTATACTTTGGGGCATACCAAAGACTACCATTTCAAAGGACAAAAGCAAAAAGTAGCAAGGAGCAACATGACAAACGTTAATCAAAATTATCAAACAAGGTTAGAAAAAGTTAAAGAGTAATTTACACTTTTAATCGGTCAGGGAAATTAGGTGTCCATCACTGTACCTATTTTGACGTTTTGGCACATTAGGCCTACTTAATACAAATATTCATTGAAATTGGAAATACAATGCTTTTTTGAAGGTTTATCTCTGATGTCTCAATAATTAAAATTATGGAAAATGTGGTTCCTAATTCAGAAAAGAATTGGAAATAATCTTAAATCAGTAAAAACCTAAAAACTTAGTTTGCCTCTGTGGCACACCCCAGCTCAGTACAAAAATAATTTAAAAAAAATATTAAAAAAACAGTGCCTTCGTCTTTTGAGTATCACATTTAGAAGATAAAACTAGAAATGTTATTGCATTGCATCCATTTTTCTGTTGTTTTTTTTTCGTTGTATTTTCGTTTAATTTTTTTAATAGAAAAAATATTTTGTGACACATGATTAAAACATTAAAACAATCATTTGTTTCATTACTATAAAGAAAAATTAATTTTTATTTCTTTAATTTTGGGTAAAAGTTCTTCTTAAGAGTTAACCCAAACAAAAATTCGTCAAAATACGACAAAGAATAAAAAATAATATTGCACTGTGAAAAATCGAAAAATTTTAGTTGTCCGGTTAATTTTGGCGGCCAGTGTACATCATCTTAAGCAAATTCTAAGAAATTTCTCTAATTGGGTAATTTGAAAGGGATTTTTCTTTTAAACTGATTTCTTATAAATATTAAATCAAACACCACCCAAGAGATTTTGAAAACCTATTTAAATAACACGCGGTATTAGAAAGCATTGCTTAGCCTTCTTGTAAAAATTAAGAAAGTGAATGCAGAAGAGACTTAAATTGAATAGATTAAAACATTTTGTGACACTTACCGTTCCATAGGTCGTCTCCTTTACGCCTAGAAGTACTCTTACTCGAAGACCCCTTCCCTTTCCTACTGGAGTGACTCGAAGAAGTTCCACTAGACGAACTGGGTTTACTAGACGACGAACTATCTTCTTTTAATGGTCGATAATAAATTACGTGTGTTTGGACCCAAATACCAACGTTTCCTATACACAAAATTAACATTAATTAAATTTAAAAAATTACGAGTATAAACAAACCTAAAGGAGTTTCGTTGTCTGTATCTGTTTCACTTTGGTCATTGCCATTATTACTAAACTGACGTACAGCCTGATACACCGTCATATTGTAAGGTAAAACATTGTTGCCTATTAAAAATTGTAACTTATGTCTAGCTCCAGATTGCGATATGACAACTCCCGCCAACGTATCATCGATATCATCATCGGAATCACCATCGTCACTATCGGCACTGTCTTTATCACGCAAACGACCGTACCCACGAACGACCAAATAACGTTCGATTGCTTGCACTAATGCAAGAGGATCAATTTTGACCGTACCGCCTTTCCACTGCTTCAAATTTGTACAATCTGGATGCCTTTGTAAATTGCACTGAAACCAAAATGAATCACATTTTTTACCTTTATAATGTAAAAAAAAAAATGTTACACCAACCTTTAACTGGTGTGTATTGAAAAATTTAAGAGCACTAGTTCCACCCCTTCCAGCACCCGAAGTCGCAGGCAAATCGTGAACTTTTACAGGAAACTGTTCTAATTGTGAGACGCAGCCGTTCAGTTTCGCTACAAGCGCACTCATCCAAGTCGAATTTAATTCGCTAATTTCAGTTACATTTGCTTCCAAGGGACAACCGGCAAATACGTTCAACATGATCCTCAATCTCTGATCGCGATCGAAAGGACCCTCCACGTCGGCCAAATACACCAATAGGGATTTAATCAATCCGGAGTAATTTACTTCAAAGGGAGAAACATCGGAATCTATTAAAATTTCTCGCAATTCTCTAAGAGCTTCGGCACATCTAACAGTGTGCAACTTTTCAATCGCCGATTTCAATCTAGTGATCACGTTTGTGGCCGGATGATGGTCTTCTTCATTCGCAGAATAAGTTTCAATGAATTTAGAAGCCTAAAAAAATATTTTAAAAATCCTGAATTGGGAATAGAAACACGAATTACCTGTTCGCGGACCCAAGTCCTTGTCTTTTCTCTATTCCCCGCCGTGATATGCGAATTCGAAGCCGACTTGGTCAGACTATTCAAGGCATCTTTACTGTAATTTCGATCATGCGAAGAATTCATAGTTCTTCCCCATCTCGCCGGATTCAAACTTTGAAGAAAACTAGTTTTCGAACTCGAACCTGAATATCGAGGTCTTGATGAATTACTTGGTGTGGAATTGCCCAAAGATGCAGCCTTTGTGAACAAATCTTGCATTAAAGAAGGTGATATAGGAAGATCTTCATGACGTGTTTTAGAACGACTTGACACTCCCGATCTTTTCGGTACTCGTTTACGTTTCAATACGTCACTTAATCGTACGTGTGAGGGACTAGGTGAACGAGTTTCGGATTCTTGAACACGTTGGGTGTCTGGAGTCGAAGTGTACATTGCAGAGGACAAGGGAGTGCCTAAGTGGGAACTGGTCGCTGAACCATTCGCGATATGACTGGAACTGCTCGAAGGTTGAGAAGTGCTAGGTTCGTTCAAAGTTGAAGAAAATGAAGCTGAACTGTAACTTGATTTGGGGGGACTAACGCCTAATGGAATCTGAAATCGTGAAAAATTAATTTGTTTCTTGGTTGTTTTTCGCAGATATTACCTCAGGGTCTGCAAGTCGATTAATCTGATGTATAACCCCCTCTCTTCTAAAGTGCACCCCGAATTCTTCAGGTAACTTATTCATAAGAATTTCAGCCATTTGCAAGGCACCAACAACAATTCTTAAATCACTAGACGCCATCATACCGGCGATATGACTACTCACAACTTGATTTTTCAAAACGTCTTTCAACAGTTCAGGACTGGCATAATACACCATCCTTAATAAGGCTTTCAAACACTTACATCTAACCGCCGGTCCGGCACTCGACGAGTACACTTCGTACAATACGGAAAACAACGAACGGATAAACGCAGCGGCGAGACCACGTTCCTCGCGAAGACACGCAACACGAGCATCACGACTTGCCGAATTCGGACGATTTCCCGAATGTGATGATTCCGAGCCGCTTGATTGGGCGCTGGTCGGTGTGAATCTACGCTGAACTGGTCTCGATGTTCCAGTATCTTCGTTGATTTGTTGCATGGAATGAAAATCGATCGTATAGATGCGGCCTAAAGTATTCAAACTGACTTCATCGTCGCCGTTGAGGTGTGCCGCTTCGATTATGCGACTGTCGACAGCACCATAAGCGTGCCATAAACCACGATCATCTCTCCATTGCCACACCGGTTGGTCTTTCGCCACATTCGAGGGCCGTTCAAGTAACGCATCGACGGCGAAAATACCATCAGATGGTAGTTTAGGCATCAATTCTCCAATAAGAGCTGTGATTTCGAATTGTTCTTGCGGTTGTCTTGGTATTAACTCAATTTCATCTTGATTAACTTCCGCGGAGCCGGTCAGTAAATAAAGTAAAGTTTCAGCTATGTTTTGCTTGAGTAGAGTTAAGGCTAAATCGGGACAGTTGGCACACATGACTGATAACATTCTTAAAACTGTGATGAAAGTCCCGGTGCTTATTACAGGTGGGGTTACAACTAGAAGTTGTTGTAAGTTGGTTAAAAGTTCAGTACTGGCGATTTCTTGAAGACGTGCTGGTTCTAATTGAAAACTGTCAACCAAGCGTGAAAAGGCCAAGCAAACGCTTTCAACACATTTTTTATCTTGTTGAGTTAAACGACTTGCTAATAAGGGCAAAGATTCTTGTACGTATTGGAATTCTTCCGATGTTAAATTTAGGCAACAGTTTGCTGTGATAGAAAGTGCGTTACGTTGGGCGTTAATAGAGAAAAAGTCCAAGTACATTAAGCAAGCAGAAACGCCACGCTAGAAAGAAAAAATGCTTTAATTGACACATAATACATAATCACCATAAAAAACTTAGCATTAAATTAATAAAACTTTATATTCCCAAAAACAAAAACAAAATATGTAGTCTGCTTTTTTTTTTAATGGAAATTACCAAGTCAAAATTTTAGTGAAAAAATTGGTAGCAGCTTGTCTCCATAGCCACAAATTTTGTTTGCTCTTTGTTTTTGTCCCTAGAAATTTTGTTAAAAAATTATGATTGTGTTCATGCTATGGTTTCTTAGATTGGTGAATTCAGTCTATCTATTTAATGTAGCGTCCAAACACCAGAGGCGTTCGCATCAAAATTTTAAAATTTTAGCGGTTGTCTGTGACACCTCTGATAGAAAAAATTAAATTTTGACGGTGACATCGTTTTATGCTTATGTGTAGTTACGATTTTTAGATTTTTATTCAGTTATTGTGTACAGATGTGTGGCTGTGTGTACAAGTAAAGGAAGTTTTACTAACAATTTGTGAATTTTGTTGATGAAAATGTGGACATTGATGGGAAAAATATGAAGATTTGTTCCGGCCGACACCCTTTTGTGACAACTCAGACTGTTTATGCTTCCTTCTCGAACATAATTGTTCTAATATAATCCATATAAGTATGAAACCACCTAGGTTAACTAATTTGATTCAATATCTTTAATAAATCACTTTAAAAAAATAAACTTATATTTTCTTTGTTTAATCTCTAATAAGATACCAGTAGCACTTATCTCCCTGTACTAAATACCCAATTAACATTATTTTTACCATTTAAAAAAGGCACATTTTGCTGTATAGTTCAGCGTCCAAACTACAGAGGCGCTGCTGAATACGAGTACAAAAGGTTGTACATGAGTACGCCATCTATAGACCCTATATAAGTATTCATCTATGATTGTGTTCAAATTGAGATGTTGTCAAAATTTTGACTTTTATGAATTTTGTGTGCCTGTTTGCTCTTTGAAAGCGCTATAATTGAATACCTGAGGACAGACATCATTACCTAAGGTCTAAAGACAGAATTCAGTACTAAAAATTTTGACAGAAACTCACCCCAAGTAAGTACAATGTTGTGGACAAAAAAAATGAGATTCTTGCTACAAAAACTTTGAAGAAAAAGGATGTATATGTATAGAGAAAAAAGTTAGTTAGCAAAAGATACAAGTGGGTTCCTCAAAAACGATGCACAAGACACTAATTTAATTGCGTTCTTTCCGAGGTTCTTTCTCAATAATGTTTATTTTGTATTCTTGTCAATTTTTTTGCTAAAAATTAAGAATGTTTAGCAAACCTGCATTACAAATTTCGTCTACATTTTAACGGGCCCTTTTTATAACTTCCTGCTTGCGAACTATTCGTTTCCAAATGTCGAAAAACTGTTAGTGTACCGAATTTGTTTCTTTTTTGGTGTTTCATCTCTAAATTGTCTTAGACGATTTTCCTTCCTTTATTAAAATTAATTACCATGAATGAATTTACTAGTAATGCCAACGTTAAGACTGTTTGGCATTTACATTAAAAAAAACAGACTTCATGTTTTTTAATGAAATATACTTTTAAAAATTAAACTTAGAAATTGATGTTATTTCTCCTCTTTGTTTATCGGGTGAAAGAGAATATTATTGTACATATCCTTGTTTAATAAAGAAAAATTCCAAAAGTACTCACCGCTTGCAAAATCGCTTTAGAATGACGACGTGACAACATATCAAGCGCAGTAAGCGACTGTTCTGCAACATCCATACACTGTATAACTTGTAGTTTTTCGAGAAAGACAGGAACGGCATCTACGACAATCGCGGACGATCTTGGAAGTGCTTCCATCATGTATGTTAAAGCACGACAAGCATGATTCATCTGTTAAAAATAATGGTAAGAATTACATTGAATTGCTATTCAAAATAAAAATGTATACAATAGTATACACAACCAGTTAAAGCTCTAAAACTGGCTGCACCTGATTTGTAACATTACTCTAAGGTTCACACCTAACATGGTACAATTTTTGTACCACTACCATAGTTGCAAACCTCTCACTAAATACAAATACTTACAATATCAAAATTATGCTCCATTCCTAGCAAAGTAATCAATGCCTGTACAACCGGCTTGACTGGAAAGCCAGTAAGAATCTCTTCGTTACCCATCACCAACACTTGACACATTTCTATTACGGCTTGTAGTTGCTGGCCTTCATCACCTGTAGCTTGTAGGCCTGGTAAAAGTGCTTGTGCTCTAGCGACAGCTAAAGAAAAACGATTAAAAAAAACACTTATTTCATAGTATTCAACATACAGCTGTTGGATCCCATACTCCTATGCAATAAATGTTGCATTCGTGGCCCTAATGCACCGAACAAATGCGGAGGAAGTCCTCTCGCCTCCAAGAGAGCTTGTAAACGTCCCACTTCACTGTCGTCGCTCTCCGAATCAGCTCCAGGTCCTGAAGGGCCCCCACTAGAAGGCATCGCCTGTGTAGCCTCTTGCGGCGACGGCGGTTCTTCCGAAGCTATAAACAATGTATAGAAAATAAAATTAAGGTTTCTGTGTGTATAAGTGAGATTATTGTTACCTGACAGACCATTGTTGGGCAAATCTGGTTGATCGGCGGCCATGGCTGCGGCAGCGTGAGTGGCAGGGGCCGTAAGGAGAGCCGGAGCGGCCGCCCCCACCTTATGCTGCCTCGCTGCTCGTCTCGAGCTGCTGCCGCTGCCACTTGCGCCGCTCGAGCTTGCACAGGAACCCGTTGTTGAGCTGTGCGCTGAAATAAAGATACGTATCAATTGACTGACTCATATACCTATGTTGTATTAACACACACATACACAACCTTCCACATTCAATACGTCGAGAAATTTGTAAAGTTGCCCGTTCTCATAATACCGCATTTCTATAACGACGAGCTAAATATAATTTAATAGAGAACCGAGTTTGTGTATTGTGATGCGAAAAATTTGCTCTACTAATGTAAAATTATGACAGCTGTCGGCACAAAGATTGATAGATACACTCTGTAACGCAACGCGACATATGGTTTGCATTTCTCTAGTTTATTGCGAGTTGTAAAAAATATTTGTACAAATATTACGTAAAAACACACTGCTCTATGTACTTGTATTTACCATTTTTTTAAAAATAAAATAAAGAATCAAATCACATGAACTGAATTTTTTTTCCACAAAGTCAGAATTCCCTCTAAGCGTTCAGAGTTGTCTTGATAATATAAAACCAATTTAATATTCTGTAATTGTAGAATATTTGACAAGGATATTTTTTAAGTTGCATTTTTTCTTTCAATGGTAAATTTTAAATTTTCTACAACAAACTGTAAAGTTTACTTCGCATCTGCATACCCCATGTATGCGTAATTTTTAATCGATACTTTAAACACGATGTTATAAAACTAATACAATTGCGGACACAGAATTTTGGACGATTTGTCATTCGATTTACATAAAAATGTAAAACAGGCCTTATGCAAATAACCTCATATTCGGTTTTTGTAATTTTTTTCCTGAGAGCTAGAGAAAGAATGACAACAAATCAATCAATAAATTTATTGAACTTATGTAAAAACACGTATTGCTGGCTTTGTTTCGGAAAATCGACGCCAAAAATTTCAACTAAAACTTTCAAATTTTAGTTTTAAACGGCAATCATAATGATAAATAATAATAAAGCGTGCCTTATGTTGAGACATTTCTTGAACTGACAAATTTGATGCCCAAAATTCCGTGTCAGCAACTGTAATAATTTAAGAGCACTATTTTTTAAACAAACAGAAAATTTCTATCCTATCATTGTGTGGAGTCCACAAAAACATTTGCGTATTGTTATTTTCCTGGTCAGCGATAATATCTTATGACAAAGCATATGTAAATTTTTTCCAAAAATAGTAGTGCGCGTTTTTTATTTTGTTAAAAATCAATTAATTGAGGTAAAAATTAAAAAACACATGTTTTTTAATTTAAAAAATTGTTTGACATCTACACTAAATTATACAAAAATATAGATAAAACAAACAATTTTATAGAAAATATCCTTTGTTAACCATAAGGTACTTATTTTTGTTACAACTACCTAAAACAGAGTTTTTACGGGCGAATCGTTACTGCTTCCGGATACGGACACGGGTCTCAAACAACATTTTTTTGTTAAAACTCCCAAAAAACAAATTCTTAATTTAAAAAATTTATTAGCTTTTTCGTTCGGAAAACTGTTTTTGGGGACTGAGTACCTAAAATAACCATTTTACGTACTATTTTATTGAGTCCGCAAAATACTCATTTTACAGACTCAAATGAGTCCCTAAAAGAGCTATTTTTGAGAACGTATACAAAAAATTAATTTTCAATTTTTAATTTACGAAAATGAAATGGCAGAGGTTCTAGTAGGTTAATAACTTCTGCTACTTCAAACTTTTTAGAAAACTACTCCCTAACAACAGTATCACTTTAGAAAAATGTCTACAAATTAAATACTAATTTAAATTAATTAAAAAAACACTTAAAAATTTATATTTGTTAATAAAAAAAAACAAAAATAAAACATATTTACAATTACTTACTAAAACTGTATGCTTCTAAGAAACAGCAATGTTTTATTTTGTAAATTGTTGAATATAAATGCGAATTTTATTTCAAGTGATTAATCATTTTAAGACTCCAGAAGTTTTTATATCGGTTACTGCACTCGAATTTATAAAAACTTATTTCAAAACTTTGTACCATCCACAACACCTTGATGTAATAAACTACAAAAAAATAGTATAGTTATCTTTTAATTAGCCCCCACCACAACACACCACAAATTTTGTAATACATATTATCTAGAGTTTCCAAACAGATTAATACCGGGAGCATTCTAGCATTGTTAAATACATAATTGTTATTTGCAAAAACAATTTGGATTACCGAATTAAAATTTAGCTGTTTGTGGTGTAAACAAGTTGTCTAGAAAATGTCTCTGAGTGTTTGTACTGAACTTACATGCAATATCAAATAAATTATTTCCGTCAATTTAAATTTGTAAACACAATTTGACTTAAAAAACAATATTTATATCACTATCTGAAGCCACTAGAAATTTTTCCTTTACACGATAACTGCTACTAGAACAAATGCAGTAACATACAACCAATAACCTTATCAATTCATTATTCTTTTAAAAATGATTGAGCAAAAATCGGTATAACTCACAGAATGAATAATAAAGATTACTTCGAGTTAAATTATTTTATCTATCAGAACATTATCTTATAGATGTTATGGTGGTATGTATTGGCTTGATAAGGAAATAAACCTGTTGAAAAACATTGTATTAATTTTGAACAAAGAAAAAAAGTGGCAGTGCGTAGTTTGTGTATCATTCGTTACTGATCGATGTTTTGAAATCCCTATTTAATTAATCTAATAAAGTGATAAAGTTTTATAAACAACTTTTCTGTGGAATACCACTAAACAAATCGTGTTTTTGGTTCATAACGTATGAATAAATAGTAAGTAAAATAAGAATTGTAGCTCATCTCTAGTACGAATACCTACCTCAATATTTACCACTTCTCAGATTATAGATAAAACACCCTGTAATAATTTTTTCATCCAGTTTCCGCTAATGAAACTGATACACAAACAGAAAAAATGTGTCGTTACTGATCTCCACTTGACATTTTTACATTATCACAATTTGATAATGATAAGACCGAATCTTGCGCAGTTATTTTTGGTTAAATTCCTTCATAATTTTTTTCTATTATACATGTATTAGCGAAAATATGTGCAGCATTTACGTACTACATACCAATTTTTTTTATTTTGGGTAATAAAAATAATTCGTCACTTAAAAAAAATAAAAAATGGTAAATACCTTTGCTATTCCGTGTGCTGCGCCTCAGCACTGCTCCGCTTCGCGTGAGGCGAGAGGGCTCCTGCTCCTCACGAGTATTAGGCTGACTGCTGGTCGCCCCCAGTGCTACAAGTTCACGTTTTCCTCGTTCGGATGGTGTCTTCTTTGATTGATGGGTGTTTTGAGAGCTCTGGTCGGTAAAACTACGACTTCGGAGAGGATATTTATGTATGCTGTCCTCACGACTGAGGTTCTCCTCCGATTCGTATTTCTTATTGTTTAGACTTATGTCACTTTTGCTGCTATAACGTTCTGAACGTTTACTATGGATATTTTTCTGCTTTGGAGAATCTTTAATTTCCACCTTATACCTAAAACAAATCGGACAAAATTTCGAATTAACATCACCATAAGAAAACAGATCCGAAGTAATTCAGTGTAAGAATGGCACTAAATTATTCGGTTGTTTGCTCCTAAAAATCCAAACTTTTGCAGTAAAGACCTAAATGAGCATGCTGTCATTTTTTAAACTGTGTTAAAACTGTCTAAAAATAGAACTGAGGCTAAAAAATCTTAATTAAATTTAATGAAATTATAAAATCGGTAGCACAACACAAAACTGAATTTATTATTATTAATCCTTGTCAGTTTTTTTGCACAAGATTTTTACGAAAAAAGAACTTAAAACTAGTCTTGGTGAGTAAAACGCCGTAAACAATTTTCTTTAATGGATTGAGAAAAAGTAAATTTTGAAGGTTATTTCAAAACAAATTTGCTGTACCCCTTTTTCGATAGGAAGGCTTTTAAATATTGACATGTGCATACAAGAATAACCTACGTTACATCAGTAATAAGAAAGATTTTAACCGAAAAAGTTTTAGTTGGTTTCTGCCTTTAAATTTCTTCTAGTAGAAATCTTAAATGCAAAATTTCACTTCCAATAATGTAAAAAATTCTAAACTGTGATAGAAAGCAGATCACAGCAACAAAAACAATCAAGATAATTGTTGCTAGAGCATGTAACGTATTTAGAGCTAATTAACTAATTTATTATACTGTCATTACTTTTCAATAAATACTAAAAGTCCAGTTCCAGAGAGATTATACGATTGTTAGTTTTTCGGTTACTTTTGTTTTGAAATAAAACTATTGACGCTAAATAATCAAAACCGAGCAAAATTCATAAACATAAAAAATAGATAATCACTGTTTTGCTCTAGTAATCACGTTCCCATCGCTGCTATAACCGTCCTAGACCTAAGGATGGCCATAACGGTGTATCTCTTCCAATCACTCTAATCCCATACCAATAATCCGTTAGTCACTTCCACTAACAGACCATAAATCAAAATTTTTATCTTTTAAAATTGGCATATTAAAAGTTGTATGATTTTTTATTAAAATAAGAAAAAAAAATGGAAGGCAACTAATCACGAATTCAATGACTTGCATTTTTATTGCACAATATTCATCAGCAGACTAATTAGAGTAAATTTTTCATTCTATCGCCAAATTACCAGAATTTAAATCAAATCAATGTTAAGGTATTTTTGCAACAATAACACACACATACCTAATCCTATGTTTTTCTAACCTTCGTGAAGAACCGGATTTTTCGCCCCGATGTTCTTTAGTCTCAGTTTTGTGAGAAGTCGGTGATTTAGAGATTTTCCTGTATTTCTTTAACTTATGTTTAGAAGACGAGGAGGATTTGGAAGTGCTCGCTTCCGAATTTAAACTATCTAATGAACTTGAAGAAGGTTCAGTGCTATGTCTCGAAGTACCCGCAATATTGTTGTGTTTATGATTGATCTCGGTACTGTTTTTGTTTCTCTTTTGTCTCGTAACTTCAGGTAGTTCTAATTCAAAAATATCAGGATGAGATCTTGACGTCCTTGATGTTGAAGGAACGATTTGTTTGTTTTTGATTTGCTTTGAAGTTGATGCGAATTCCTCCTGATTTTTTGATTTTGTGTGTTTGTTGTTAGCCAGACTTGTCTCTGCGTTGTCCACCTGCGACAGACGGGGGTTAGGCAAGCTCAGACGCAGAGGGGGGCTGCTCACGTTCGGTGTTTTATGTCTCGAGTCGTCTTCCTGTGGTCGAAGGCGCTTGGCCTCGGCACGTGGCTGCGGGGGCAGCACACGCTTGCGGCGGCTTGTGCTGGCAGCAGCGTTTGCGTTAGCTGGATCTGCCATAGACGAAGCGTTCCAGACACCTCCACTTACCAGCGACACTCATTCCCTTGTGATTCAGCGTGCTCGGTTTTTGCTATGTTTGTGAACTGAAATACACGAAAAATTGCTTAGAGTTATCCTTGTCAAGTCAAATATTTGCCGTGAGTCATTAACTGGGCAAATAAACAATTGGAAATGTCAGATTTCTGAAAAATTTTTGTTTGTACGAAAACACCCAGCGAAATTTTCCAGGGAGGATTACATGGCGAACGTTTGATTAACAACTTCTAAAAATAATCGCCTTAATTAGGCGTGTTGGGAGACAAGGCGATTTCGATTTCATGGACAAAGGCTCCATTTACATGGGCACAAATATGACATTGGGTATCAAAATGCAATAAAACTATCGGTTGACTGTGCAAGTACAGATGTTACCACGGGTGAAATACGCCAATCCCCGATTTTCTACAACACCTACCTATTATATACATCGTACCACGACTTTTTCGCCACTCCTTATCGCCCTAAACTTAGAAAAACTAGTCAAAAATGTACAAATTTTGGGAGACACTGTCAAGTTTGCAGCACGGCTGCCCTGCAACCATGTAACTAAAAAATCCCATTCACACAACTGAAAAATTCGCAGAACCAGTTTCGAGAACCAGTTAGACCCTTAAGCACACAAAACAACTTTTGCAGCCTGACTATGATTAACACAAAACTTACAATTAATACGTCTAAACTGAGAAATTGCTCACAAAAATATTATTACTTCCATGGCGCACCATAATCGTTCTGTTTTATTGTGATAAGCGAGTTTTACAATAATAAAAATGAATGTAGCGACATCTGACAGGCCGACAACGAACTTTCTGCAAAACCTGTAAGAGGAGAATGATAATTTCGATATCTTTTTTCCTCATTTTTTAATTTCCGCATCATTACGCGTGCTAATTATTAGGAAAATTGCTCTTTTTAATGGAAAACTAACGCTGGATAAACAACACATGTCGACAAGTGAAAGTTTTGAGGTTAAAAACGATAACTCAAGTGTCTTACAGAGTAAAACTTACCTACGAGACGCAAAACAAAACGATCATAAACTGGGATTACGACGAAGAAGAATCGTCATTGTTTCTTCATCATTTTCACAAAAAATTTTCTGTCACTGGAAATCTTTTAACCTAAGAACCAAAGTTTTCAAATATAAAATTGTTTTTCAAAGGTTTCTTGACGAAGAACTGATAACTTCGAGCATACAGTTTTAGATGTCGCTGCTTTGTTTTGATATTCATTTGTTGTTACATTCGAATCAATTTTTACAAAAATAATAACAAATAACAATAATATCATCAAAATATCATTAACAATTTGAGTTTTAAAGTCACTGGCTAACATTTATCTACAGTAAACCAAAATTTTAAAATAGTATCACAAAAATCGAAAACTTTATAAATGCCGTTTTTGCATCTTTCTAGGGGTCCCAAAAACTAGAAAATGTGCATACGTTCTGGAGATTACCAAAAAAAGTCTTCTAAATAAAACTATGTGCATACGTTCTGGAGATTACCAAAAAAAGTTTTTTAAATAAAACTAGCAGAAAAGTTCGACTACGCAAATCGTCTTGAACTAAAAACGTCTTTCTAACCGAGACTATATTAACCACTGGACTTCAGATTTTTGCTATTTGATAGATAAGTAGAAGATTTCAACGTCATTTAATTTTTTTTTAAAAAAGGGTTTAAGATTTTGAAAGATCTTATGGTTTTTGAGTTTTTTTCAAGCGGCGGTTACGATAAAGCTGTTGTACCTACTGAGTTTGAGAATGTCGTTAGTAAACAGATCAATTTTTCTCCAAAAATTAAAAATTTTACTTCTAGTAGTCCAAATAAAAAATCAGCAGGCAATTGAAGAAAATGAAGGTAAGTCTAAATCGATTTTCTTTTAATGGAAATTACCAAGTCAAAATTTGAAAAAATTGGTAGCAGCTTGTCTCTACAGGGTGCGCCAGAACTCGCGCCCCAGAGAAAATTTTCAAGTAAGGTAAGATACCAGGAACATGAAAAAAATGTTTAAAAAATTCTATCTGTCAAAAAATTTTGACATTTATTTTTTGACATTTGACATTTTTTCATATGTATTTAATGATACTGATGATCTTGTATATGTTTTTTTACAATTATTTAGTAAAAGGACAAAAATTTTGCCAATAAAAGCCACAAATAACATTGAACAGAGTTACAATTTAGGATACAGCTTCCTTGTTTCCTCTTTTAATAGCCTATAGCAAAAAAAATTGTAAAATTATTTTTCCAAGAGAAATAAATAGAGTCTAAGTACAAACTTTAAACCATCATAACTTCGAAATTTTTATAGATAAAATTTTTTTAACATGTTCCTGGTATCTTACCTTATATGGCATTTTTCTCTGGGGCGCGAGTTCTGGCGCACCCTGTATAGCCACAAATTTTGTTTGCTCTTTGTTTTTGTCCCTAGAAATTTTGTTAAAAAATTAAGGTTATGTGTTCCAATTGAGATGTTGTCAAAATTTTAACTTTTATGAATCTTGTGTGCCTGTTTGTTCTTTGAAAGCGCTATAATTGAATACCTGAGGACAGACATTATTACCTAAGGTCTAAAGACATAATACAGTGCTAATAATTTTGTCAGAAACACACCGCAAGTAAGTACAATGTTGTGGACAAAAATGAGATTCTTGCTACAAAATCTTTGAAGAAAAAGGATGTATGTACAGGAAAAAGTTATTTAGCAAAAGATACAAGTGGGTATTATTGGCAAGAAATTTTATGTAATTTATTGAAATGAGCTCAAAGTTGATGCATTTTATAAATTCTTCTTCAGCTTTAATTTCAAAATTGTTACTTTTTCAACTCGTTCCTCAAAAACGATGCACAAGACACTAATTTAATTGTGTTCTTTCCGAGATACTTTCTCATTCATGTTTATTTTGTATTCTTGTCAATTTTTTGCTAAAAATTAAGAATGTTTAGCAAACCTGCATAACAAATTGCGTCTACATTTTAACGAGCCCTTTTTCTAACTTCCTGCTTGCGAACTATTCGTTTCCAAATTTCGAAAAACTGTTAGTGTACCGAATTTGTTTCTTTTTTTGGTGTTTCGTCTCTAAATTTTCTTAGACGATTTTTTGTGTTGACGTTTAATGACATTGTTTTCAAATTAAGTAATTCGAAAAACCGGAACTGCCAACTTCCTGTATTAAAATTACCATGAATGAATTTACTAGTGATGCCAACGTTAAGACTGTTTGGCTTTTCCATTTAAAAAAAACAGACTTTAGGTATGTACACTAGCGGTCACGGAATTTTGGACATCAAATTTATGACAGTTCAAAAAATGTCAATGTAAGCCACGCTTTATTGTCATTATGAATGACGTTTAAAAAGAAAATTTGAAAGATTTAGTTAAATTTATTTTTGGCGTCGATTTTCCGAAACAATAATGCCAGCAATACGTGTTTTTAAATAAGATCAATAAATTATTTTGATTTGTTGCCATTTTTTCTTTCGCTCTCAGGATAAAAATTAGAAAAACCGAAAGTGAGGTTAGTTGTCTAAGGCCTGTTTTACATGTTTATGTCAGTTGAATGACAAATCGTCCAAAATTCCGTGTCCGCCAGTGTATTAAAAAAAAATGCAGTGCAAGACATTTATCTTAAAATGATGCGTAAACCGCAAAGATTATAAAGAAAATATAAATAAAAAAATCTTAGAAAATTAAATTCTCAACAAATGGTTAACTTCAACCGCTTAGTTTAAAATTGTAGAAATTTTTTTAACATTACATTTTGTCAGAAATGACAAATTAAGTTGTTAATTAATTACGAATAGTGTCCGGATGTATAAATTCTACTGTTAAAATAAGCATTTTACAAAATTAGATAACCAAAAAATATTTATTAGTTATTTCAAACTAAATTGTTTTACTGGGAATTATTGATATATGAAACTAATTCTTTTATTAACATTAAAATGTGTGGTCGATATTTTAGTTTAAGAAATCTGCATATTCATCTATAGTCACCGACGTTTTTTAAATATATTCTGGTTAATGCCCTGCGCACTAGTCTCTTTTACAAATCTATAAGATTCTGTATTTTTAAAATTAATAGGCATTGCAATATGCCGCATTGAAGTAGGTACCTACTATATGTGGCTGTCGTAGTAATTACGATAAAGGCCCTCGAATTTTAAGTTTCCTAAAGGTGAAGAAATAAAAAAAAAAATTAAGAGAAGTATACATAGTGAAAATTTCATTGTTGCTGAAAAGAGTTTAATAGGCGAACATTATCAAAGCTGTAAAATGTAAAAATCAATGATACCTAAAGCTGATAAAAAAATTGTGTCCTGTCTATAAAAATCACAAAATTTTAGAAGCGTGTGCCGAATGTGCTAATAATAGGTATTAGCAAATTAGGTGAAAAATGTGTATCAAAATGTGTTAATATTTAGTCAAAAAATCTCATACAAAAAAATTACTAAAATTACTAACGTTTTTACTTTATTATTATTAATTAGTAAGTGAAATTAAGGTTAATTTGATATTTGTTTCATTTTTGTTCGTCACGGCATGTGATTCAAGTGTGACGTCACAACTGTATTCCAGCTTACCATTCCGCTTCGGTGCAATGGTGCACAACGCTTGCGCAGCACGCTCAAGTACAATTGCGTCATCATTATGACAATCATTTCTAAGTATGTAATTTCCGCTAATTCCAATAGAATCCTAGTAATTCCAGAAAAAAATACGGTAATTTCAAAAAGAATTCCAGTAAATACAGAAAAATTCCACAAATTCCAAAAAGAATTCAAGTAACTCTTAAATAATTCCAGTAATTTTAAATACATTCAAATATTAATTCGAAGCAATTCCGATTAAATTCCAAAAAATTTCTACACCTAATTCCAAAGTTAACGGCTTCTCGGTTGAAACAATGAGAAACTTAATTTTTGAATTTGTGATTCTCTAAAAAATCGTAAAAATCATCCATTAACTTTAAATCGCAAAAACATTCAAAATATCGTTTTCTAGACGTAATACAGGTTAAAATGCTCTACTAGAAGCAGTTTTTACTTAAACTAATATGACTGAGTGCCTGGAAATCACTCTGACCATTTAATTTCGCTAACCTTTGATTTTAGATCCATGTTATTCTTAAGTTATAATTTTTGAATTGCAAAAAGTCGACATTGTAATTTACTATTTATCTAAATAGGTAACGTTATAAAGTTTTTTATGTTATGAGCGAATGAAAAGACACATGAAAATTTTCACATAAAATAAATTTTGATAATATTTTACAAATTGTTTTAGTCCGGTCAAAATAGACATTTCAAATAACTAAAATTCCGACAGAGCTAAATTTTGGTGGAGATCTTGGGTACACCATTAGGAATAAAGTGTCAAATGTCCCCATCGATCCCATGTGTGCTAAAAAAGTTATTCGAGGTCAAAAAATTTTTTTTTCTAAAACGGTAAGTTCTATCAAAAAAGTAGCTCGGACAAAAATTATAGATCTTAAAATTATCTACAAAAATGGTCTTTATACTTTTTTTCTAATAATCATCATTCCTGAGATATCGCAATTCTAAAAGTTGAAGGAGTCACGTTCTACATGATATGCACATACAGAGTGCGCCAGAACTCCCACTCCAAAGACAAATGCCATGTAGGGTAAGGTACTACGAACATGAAAAATATTAAAAAAAATTTTTGCACTTTGACTCTTATTTCTGTAGGAAAAATAATTTTCCAATTTTTTTTGCTACAGGCTATTAGAAGCGAAAACAAGGAAGCTGTATCCTAAACTGTAACTCTGTTTAATGTTATTTGTGGCTTTTATTGGCAAAAGTTTTGTACCTTTACTAAATAATTGTAAAAAAACATATACAAAATCATATCATTAAATACACATAAAAAATGTCAAATGTCAAAAATTAAATGTCAAAACTTTTTGCTTGCTTTTGGATTTTTTAAAAATTTTTGCATGTTTCTGGTATCTTATCTTACTTCATTAAACTTATAAATATCTCGATTCCATTGGAATTAAAAAGACTTTATTTGTTAATACATACATTCAAAAAATCGCGCACTTCCTTGTCAGGGAGTAATTGGGTAGTCCCCAGAGTAGGTCCTAAAAAAATGTTTAAAAAATTCTCTGTCAAAAAATGTGGACATTTATTTTTTGACATTTGACATTTTTTTATGTCTATTTATTAATACTGATGACCTTGTATATGTTTTTTTATAATAACATTAAACAAAGTTACAGTTTAAGATACAGCTTCCTTGTTTTCGCTTCTAATAGCCTGTAGCAAAAAAACTTGGAAAATTATTTTCCTAACAGAAATAAATAGTCACAGAGCAAAATTTAAACTCTCATAACTTTGAATTTTTTATAGATAGAATTTTTTTTAATTTTTTCTATGTTCCTGGTACCTTACCCTACATGGCATTTGTCTTTGGGGCGCGAGTTCGTATAACACATGGGATCGATGGAGACTTTTGACACTTTATTTCTAATAGTGTACCCAAGGTCTCTACCAAAATTTGCTCTGTCGGAATTTTCGTTATTTGACCACTATTAAATTAAAAAGTCTCTAGAAGTGGAGTATTAAAATATGTTAATTTTTTATATGGTAGACCAACAATTTTTTATTATTACATCGTAACATTAGTCTTTTGATACATGGTACCGGTAGTTTTTTTGGTTTCCATTTGTGGTTTAATTACGCATTTGGAGAAAAAATAAGAGTCCTTAAGCACTTAATTTGCGGAAAGGTCTCGGGATGAGATAGAGAGTAAGAAGATAAGTTGGCCCCTTTTCTACATTTTGTGGTGCCGTCACTGATCGTCAGAAGTGGGATGAATGCGATCGATGAGGCTGGTCCAGGCGTCACTGCTCTTTGCCGAGGCGCCGTCATCCCAGGCTTGCAGTTTAGTGTTCGGGATACTCTCTCACGAGGGAGACGCCGACGCGGAACGTCGTCCGTGAGGTAAGTCAACAACTCGTGTCGCACGAATTTTCTTTTCTCGCTTTCGCTTTACTCGCTCGGGAATTCAATTAATTTTACCTACAAGACAAATTGACAAAACGAAGAAGACGGAATTTTTACCACAAACCAAAAACAAAAAAATAAAAAAATCGTAAATTGACTCGGATAAAAATTACTTAGGAAAATTATCTCGTCACTAGATTTTTGCGCCGATTTATTATCCTGCGATGATGAGATTTTAAAGACTGTGGAGATATTAAAAAATTTGATTAAAGATGAGGGATTAAGGATCGTGCAAGATGAATGTAATAATTTTCTACTCTGCGTAGTATCTTCAATTATCAAGAGACGAGAGCGTTAAAACAATTAATTAAATTAAATACAAGTTTGCATTGGTTTTTATCTCGCAATCTGCAACTAAAGGTTTACACGATTGGCTAATGGCACTAAAATTTTTTATTACGTGTGTAAGCTTAAAAATTAACAAGTCATTTGCATACTTTTACAGCGTGTAAAAATTTAAATTTGTATTAATTATTCGTGATGTTTGTCAGTGTTATTGATTCACATTCCAAAACCTAATTTTCTAAACTTGGGATGACAAGATGTTTTGTTGTTTGGCTTGCGTTGGGTCTTATTTTTCGTGATACTCGTATGTGTCAAACTGTGGGTGAATATGTTCTTTGTGTATAAATATTTGAAGCGCTTTCTTACCTTGTTCAAGATTTATTTATTTATATTTAAAAAAGTATGTTTTTGTTAGCACTAAAACGTGTTCAAATTTTCAATTAAAATTGTATGGAATTGGTAGACTTTTGCGTAATTGTGCCTGCACGACGCAAAGTACTGTGCAGAAGAACAATTAATTGCGTTGTCAAATTTATAATTAAATTTTTAATTAAAACTAAATTACTTATTTTCAACTTTTGATTGGATTGTTTTATAAATGAGGTTAAAATTTGAGTTGAGTTTAACTAGAATTATATTTCAATTCTGATTGATTGCAGGATTATCAGAATTATTCGTCATACGTGACGGTCTACCTTCCACATTCTCTAATTTTATTTTATATTAGTTTTATTCAATTGTGTTAAAGTGGTACTAAAATCTCAAGGAATAGAATTTAGTAAATCACTTATATTTAGCTACTCAATTTGTATTTCTCCTTAATATTCTTTATTGCATTGGAAACCGAATGCTGGTGAAACCTCGGAAACATCTCCGCTTCGCATATTTATCGATGACGAGTGCTTTTAATCAGTTCGTAGATAACTTTCTCGCTGATCTTCTTAGCCATTTTACTGTTATATTTAGTGAATCAATAAAATAATATTTTATAATATATACCAGGTAAATACAGGGTGCGCCAGAACAAGCGCCCTAGAAAAAATGCCATGTAAGGTAAGATACGAGAAACATGGAAAAAATGTTTAAAAAATTCTTTCTATAAAAATCTCAACGTTCTGAGAGTTTAAATTTAGCACTTTGACTCTATTTATTTCTGTTGAAAATATAATTTTCCAAGTTTTTTTGCTGCAGGCTATTAGAAAAGGAAACAAAGAAGCTGTATCCTAAATTATAACTCTGTTTAAAAAAAAGATATAAAGTCGCGGTCAATTCATAGTGGTCACTTTTCAGTGTAAATTTGTAAAATCAGAGTTGTGTAAATCCGACTTTAAACATGCAATTGTTTTTTTAGGGACATATCTATCAAAAATGACAATATTGAAAAAGTTGGGTTACTTATAAATAAAATCTATTACGCCTGTCATAACTGTTGACACAATTTAGTTACATCTGCGACCAACTTTGACAAAACCCACACACTAAAGGTGACGGGCTAAGTGCTGCCAACTTTGCGATAAATTAAATGGCCACTATGAATTGACTGCGACTTTACAAGATCATCAATATTATTAAATAGACATAAAAAATGTCAAATGTAAAAAAATAAATCTCAAAATTTTTAACAGAGAATTTTTTCCACGTTCTTGGTATCTTATTTTACTTGAAATTTTTCTCTGGGGTGCGTGTTTTGACACACTCTATATAATAAATAAAACGTAAAAAAAACAACAACAAATATAGATACCTATTTTCTGTACAAGTAAAGTTGGGAATAGCACATTTGTGCAATTTGTTGATTTCTACAGGGTGCGCCAGAACTCGCGCCCCAGAGAATAATGTCAAATGCCGGCGGCAATAGGTTGACAAAAAGTGCAGCCGAAGAAGTAATTTTTGCTTGCATAAGAAAGTTATTCGACTCTTAAATCCACCAATCCCAGAAGGGCACCTCAAGGCGTGATTGAAAAATTATATCGGTTGCTAGGTGACGAAAATAATACCAATTTGGCCAGAATTTTAAAAAATAGCTGGTCTACTGTAATTTTGCGTTTGACATTTATCGTGATGTGGGTGACAACTTGCTAGTTTTTGGTATTTTTCTCGCTGAAAAGGTTGTACACGAGTTTAATGAGACAGAATCGTTAATTACTATCAACAATTATCAAAAATTATTTTAAAACATTCGTGAAACTCCTGATGAACCGACTTCTCTAAAACTTCTTCACAGGTATTGTTCCTTCTCAACTTTTTCTTCGATCTGATACAGATTAACAAACCGATAAATGAATTTTAGAGCTTGAAAACTTGTGCATTATCCTTATGAAACAAAGAAGCAAGTGAGAGTGAGAGACCAGAAAAACATGAAGAAGTACGCAAGTTTCTTTATTTACTTTAATGCAAAAT